GCCCTCAAAATTAGGTTAAAATTGCCTATATAAAACCCTTAATATTGGAATTTATACTAGGCTGGTTCTTGTTTGGGCGATGGTGGTATTTTTTTTTTGACGCCCCCTAACATTATTCCAAAAAATTAAAAATATATATTGAGCCCTATTTGAGCTTCCCAGGACGATTCTTAAGTTCCCCTGTAACGTGGTAAAGTTTCCCATTTAAAATACGAGTATATGTATTTTTTTGTTTATTTTAAATTTAATTTTATAATGCGTATAGCCGAGGTTATGGTACGCTTTAGGTGGGGAGGGGAATTATATCGGGCGATTCTTGTCACTTTCTTACTGATAATTATTTATTTTTTTTCATTTTCTTAAAATATCGTTAATATATACAAAAAATCGATGATTTTTAATATGTCGCATCTTTGAAAATCGTATGAATACCAAATGTGAGTCACTCTGTATCAAATAATAGATGTTCTTAAAATAATTTATGTGCGTTGAAGTTATTTACAGATAATTGGATACGGCCCATGCATTTATATTATGTATATATTCGAAATGAAATACTTATTAGTTGATGCAAATAAGTGACCTATATACGATTTTTAAACGATTTTCAAAGACACGACACGCTAAAAATCATGCATTTTCCAAATATATTCCTGGTATTTAAAAAAAGAAAGAACTTTAATTTTGGATTAAATAAAACATATTATATAAGTTAGTACTTTTGAATATGTAAAACTAGTTTTTAGTTTTTCACTGCCTACAACTTTTGATTAGTATTTTTACAACATTGATAGTCTATAAAAACGGTTTTAACGTTCTGTGTATGCCATAATAGAGCCAACAAAAATAGAAATTTAACATTTTATAAGTAAATTAGCATAATATTTTTAGATTTGGAGTGAAACGAGGAATGTATAGGTTTTACAGTAATGTTTGAATATTTATTTATTTTTATATTTTCATTTACTTATACTGGGTATAATAATTTTACCAGAAATCTTATTCCGAAGTATCAAGTACCAAGGTGCTCCTTTTTCGAGAGGAATTTTCCTGGGGTGGTAACTCAAGGAGGTATTTTTTGATTTTCTCGAAGGTTTTCACAATAAATGGGAAAAGTCGGAGACAAATTTAGGAAAAACAAGATAATTTACGAAAATAATGCTTTTATAATTTTAAAATTTGTTTATTGTTTTGTTATAATTCAGTTTAAAATGTTCATAAAAACTTGAATTTTGAACAGCAACCTTATATTTTCCATTTATATACGTGGTAAAATTTAAAAAAACATTTGATCCGCTTTTTAGCTTTTATAGCCATTTTAATTTTGCAAGTTTTTTTATTTATGTAATACTTATTCGGTAGGTACTGTGTGAATAAAGTTGTTAGACCAAACATAAATGCTTGGAAATTTAACAGGAGGTTCATTATAAATGGGCCGGTTTTTAAGTTGCTTTTAACTAATTTTTAGTAGAACTTAACTGAGAGTTATCACCATCTCCTAGTTAAACTAACAAGCAGTCTAAACTTCTAGTTAATTTAGCTTGCGTACCTACCTCTGGTTATCCTTGATTAACTCTCAGTTAAGCATTGATTATAATTACTGCAATCGATAAATTAAAATGTATGTATCTATACTATTTTGAAATGTACTGTGTAGACGTGTAGTTATATAGTGAAAATATTAAAATTATTATAAAGATGTATCACGTATGATGTATGTATTTTATTGAATTTAATGGTATTCTGTTTGATGATGATATAGAAGAAATTATTAAATATGTCAATTATCAATGTAGGCCATATGTTGTAATTGTCGATAATTTTAATATATGGCAGTTTCGATTTTAAAATACGTTTTCGTATAATAACTTATTCAATAATTCATTCATTAATAATAACGTATTCAAATATGTATGAAATTAGACTAAATGAAATCAATTTGAATAAAATAAAATCAATTCAAATCAAATTAATCTAATTCAAATGATTGAAATTGATTTAATTTGATTTTAATAGATTCATTTAATTTAGTTTATTTCGAATTGATTTAAATTTATTAAATTTGAATCAAATTAAATCCAATAAATTTCATGTCATTTAAATTTATTTGATTGGGATTAATTTAATTAGTTTAATTTGATTCAAATTTAATTTCATTTAATTTGGTTTAATTTGATCTAATTTGATTTGAATTGATTCAAATGAAATCAATTTATCATAGGCAAAAAAAAAAAATTTACCTTAAGCGCTCATAACGAAAAATTGATAACGTACCTTAGACTCATGGCATGCATTATCAAAATAAAAAAGTACTTTAGACGCACAGCGCACATGACAAAAAATAAAAAAATATCTTATGCGCACAGTACGTATAGACAAATAAAAAAAAACAATAAGGCTGACAGCGTTTATGATGAAAAATAGAAAATTAAAAAAGGTACCCCATGCGCATGGTTCGCATAGGCAAAAAAAAAGTACCAAAGGCACATGGTGCACATAACCAAAAAATAAAAGGGAACTTAGATGCATGACACACATAAGCAAAAAAAAAATTTACTTTAAGCGCAACGTGCACATAACTAAGAATAGGAAAATACATTAGACACATTATATTCTCCCTATACCAAACTTGTTCAACTTCTCGCCTACAATAATGGCCCCGACCCATCGTGCAAAGTATGTCCGTCTCTTTTGCTTTTACTTCTCTCACTATAAAACTATTTTGTTATTAATTCAACTATCTTACTAGGTAGCTAAAATATTGGAATATAAGAATCGACTATGAACTGAATCTCAGAAATATTTATCATGTAAAAATGCATGCAATATTAGCTAAATATTTCAACCATGGTTGTATATTTGTACCCGATTGTTAATATCTACTTTTTATAAGTGTATTTAAAAAAAGATACTTGGCATGATGGGTGCAGTCACTGTTGTTGGTGAGAAGTTGGGAATGTAGGATATAGAGGGGAAATTAATTTGTATCTGATAGTGATGCTTTGTTAACAATGTGTCATATTATGTTAAAAAATTTAAATAGGCATTAGGTATTTTCTTTAATAATATTTGTTTAATATAGTACTGATTTTCCTTTTTTTTCAACATTTTCCCCGGTTTTTTACATTTGCTGGGAAAACTCTTGGGAAAATCGAAAAATGATCTCCTTCAGGTACCTCTCCAGTCCGATCTCCTTTAGAAAAAGTGTTACATTTAAAAATCGGATAAAGATTTCTGGTAGATAATAAATCGAGGGGTATTTTTCGATTAAAGTAGTCAGAGCGAGCGATAGCTGGATCTCTAGGTACACCCAAAATGCATTTGTTTTTTCCTTTTTTAGGTAAAACGGGAAAAAAATGCAAACAATTTTGTTCAAAGCCCGGGATTTAACACGGAACCCCTAGGATGATAACAGCTATGTATAACCAATAAATCACGATAAATATTCGTTAAGAGATACAATATAGTTATTTAACATAAAATATAATATCTGCATAATATGAGAACTTCAAAAAGTTATAATTTCGAAACTTAGTCAGCCCGCTCAATTCTGTTTACACTATTATTCTTAAATCGACAATATACCTACTTATGTTCAAAAAAAAAAAAAATTGAAAAATTAGATTTGTTCCACATAATTTTTTACTCAAACGATTTTCGTCAATATTTGATACTAAAATTCTTTTATAAAAAATAAATATCACATTAAACTCAATTTTTTTTGATCACAAAGTTAGACTTTTAATAAACGTCCTGTTAAATTGTCAAGCACTTCTGTTAAGTCTAACAATTTTACCACGGCGTAGGTATCTACCGAATGAAAATTACGTACAAAACTCTCAAAATTAAAACGTCTATAAATCGACCAAAAATGGTTTAAACTTTTTGAAAATTTTACCACGTCTAGGGAACTAGACAAAGGCAACTATAAATGTTATGTCCAAATTTTAAGTCCATAGTGTCGATTCGAGTAATTTTAGTTGAATTTCAACAAAAATATTAACATCTTTATACAAAGCTTAAAAATGACTAAAATGTTTCAAAAATGTTATGTCTGGAAAAGACAAAAATAAGTTTTTGTCCGAATTTCAAGTCTCTACGAATATTTTTAACTGTATTACAACAAATAACAAAACTGAAAAATAATAAAAGCATTATTTTCGAAAATTTTCCGGTTTTCTTAAGCTTTATCTTGGTTTTACCCAGATATTATGAAAACCGTTTAGAAAATCAAAAAAGTGAACTCCTCATAGTACCATCTGGACAATATTTCTTTTTTCAGAAATGGTGTCGCGCGTAAATATCGAAGAAAGATTTATATAGCAGAATTTTTGTACACAGTATAAAAAAGAAAAAAAAACATTTTAGGAAAACCAATACATTCTTCGCTACACCCAGAATCTAAAATTAATACATTTTCATAAAAAAAATCTATTTTTCAATATTATTAATATTGATTATTGATAACCATTACAATATTCAAAAACTTATTTCAGTCTATTATATAGACAGGTACTCATATACCTAAATAATATTTGAAATGTGTTAAACAAATTCATGATGCATTTGCATACCCATGTATCCCATAAATGACGTCACTGTTTACCAATTATTAATAAAACCTTAAAATATGATTTTTTATTTTAACGGTTATCACATCATAATGAAAACAGATGACCTCAATTTTTTTTATCACCGGGTTCTTCACCGTTAAGACGTTATATTTCTTTATTATTTATGGTCGGCCACTAAATATTTATGGTAAATTTATCACTAGGCAATTGATAGTTTTACTGGCCGTTGTTATTTAATTATTATTATGTAACTACGTAGGAGGTTTACATAATATTTTGCGTCCTGGTATATGATTTTTTACTATTTTTTTTTTTTTTTTTAATTATTATTATTATTTAAATTAACGTCCGTGGTATAATTTTTCTCGTTTTTTTTTTTTTTTTGTATTTTGTGAGAAAAAATTAATTATTGAATAATTTCATGAAATGTCTTACGGCGAAGAACACGTCGTTGAGGAATACGAAGACGATCAATTCTACAACGACGAATACAGTGACGCCGATCACGACGATCACATATCGTACAACGATAACGATTTTATATCGAAACCGGTTAAAAGCCCATGGTGCACAATCGACGAAAACATATTAAGACTCCAGTATCCTTTGACGGTCAATCTTTAACGACTTTGTGAAACTATAATAGCTTTAGCTGCGTTATGTACTCAGAATCTAAAACCATCAAAATTAGATAAATATATTAGACGAATAATCTACCATGGTATTATCGCATGCGAATTTTATCGAGGTTCTCAGTTGTACAATATCGATGTTCATCTCATGTCCCTCATATATACAGGGTGATTCAATAAGCGTGCCCACCACATTTATTTGGTTAAATTTTGCATAAATTCAAATTCTGATTTTTGGAAGTGTAGTTAAAGCCGATATTTTCGAATACTTAGATTTTTCCCTACATTTAAGGAATATCCTGTAGTGATACCAACTTTGGTTTTGCAAATAAGAACCTATATTAAAAATTCCACAAATAAACGAAGTATTACTTTAAATAAATTTTGGTGTCAACATTTTTGATTTCCGTCAATCCGTTAACAAGATATTCCACTTTTAAGTTTATGTAGTGGGAGAATAGTAAAGAATTAATAAAAAAGTATAATAAATAAATACATTAATAAACAATTTATATATAAAAATAAAATAAAAAAATGAATGTATGTGTCACCTGGAGTATTATGATAAGTGTATTATAACGACCGATTTCGAATTAAAAATTCATCATCAGGTATATCACAGTCAAAATGTAAAACGTGATGGAATAAAAAAATTAAATGAAGTTAAACATAGAAAAAACTATTTTGGTCAAAACAAATTTTAAACAAATTGGTCGTTTTACAAAAAATATAGAAATAATTTACTTTATTAGGAGAGATCATTTAAAATTAGTTATTATTAGACATATATTTGTTAAGAAATATATTATTATAAATATGTTATTATTTATTATCTAAAATGTATTGATACAAGATATTTTTTTTTAAAAATTGGTTTGAATATTTAAAATATTATTCAAATTATTTTCCTTTATTTCATTGTGTATGTGTAATTCTTCTAAAACTGAATTAATGTAAATGTTATTTTGAGTATTTAAAATTTTTAAGCCTGTATTATCAAAACGTATATTATGATTATTTTCTAAAACATGTTAAGTGAATTTTTTTATTTCAGAAATGTGTTCAATTTGTATAATTATTTTTTTCTTTGTATTTTTTCATTTAATTTTTTATGTTCAGTCGTGTTTTATATTTTGACTGTGATATACCTGATGATGAATTTTTAATTCGAAACCGGTCGTATGATACACTTGTCATAATACTCCAGGCGACGTATTCATTTATTTTTAATTTTATTTTTATACATACATTTTTTATTTATGTATCTATTTAATATATTTATTTACGAGTATAAACCATTTTAATAATAATTTTTGTTTTAACTTTATTATTTTATTAACTAATAAACCACCGCTCATCATGTCACCACACAAATAATACATCACTACTCTCCCCTTGCCCGTACTAAGTTGTATATCTCGTTAACGGATTAACGGAAATCAATAATGTTGACATCAAAATGTATTCAAAGTAATACGCTGTCAATTTATGGAATTTTAATTATTGGTACTCGTTTAAAAAACCAAAGTTACTTGGTATTGCCACAGGACACTCCTTAAATGTGATAAATTTACGGTAATTACGAAATTGAAAATGAGGAAATAGGATAGTCGATATATTAGTGGACAATGAATGTAATATTAATATCACTTTTATATTATCTCATTGAAAAAAACATGAATTTGTTTACTATGAAAATGAATCCTTAATGATTGTTTCGGATACCCTGGGTAGGTTTTTAATATTTTTACATAACTTAAGGCAAATAAAGTCAATTAGAATATATCGAAAAACATTAAATATTTCAGTTGATAATGATGCATTGTCAAAAATATATATGCCATATTATGATAAAATAATTAAATAGGCATTATATATATATTTTTTAATAATATTTGTTTAATATTGTATCGATTTTGACGTTTTTCTCAGTTTTTCACATTTTCTGGGAAAACTTTTTCGGAAATCGAATAATGATCTCTTTAAAGTACCACCCCAAGACAATTTTTTTTCAGAAAAGGGTCTATATTGTGCACAAATAAATTTAAAAATTTAAAAATTTGTAAAACCTATATGTTCTTCATTAAACTCAGAATCTAAAACAATACAATTTAAATAACTACTTTTTTGATGATTTTAAATTAAATTAAAAAATAATATAGTTTGTTTTTATTATTAGATCGGTATTAATATAGTTTAACACTGACGAATCGTAGGAAATCGTTTAAGGAGTTCGGAAGCGACGAGTTTCCAACTTTGTCTTACACATGTGTGGTGTAGGGATTAAGACGTTATCGGTACGTTTTAAATCAAACGTACCGATTGATCTAATGAAACGATTTCTAGAAACAGACTTGAAGTCAAATTGAATTCATTAGATCAATTGGTATGTTGGAAATAAAAAACGTCTTAAAAAAAGTCCTTATATCTCACGTATGTAAGACAAAGAAAGAAACTCGTCGCTTCCAATCTCCTTAGGCAATGTGAGTAAACAGCTCTGAGTAATTCACACGAGTGCTTAATAATTATAACAATATTTAAAGATACAATTTAGGATTGAAGTAATTTATTTGTAATGATATTCTGCCGGTTTTTATAGTACCTACTTGAAAGTTCCTTAAATGATTCCATTGTCTATAATACAGTTACTCGTTCGGTTACGAAAGTTCGAAAATTTTCAATTTGTGTGCTGCCGACGATCATACGATTGTGTACGCAGCCGGTAGTTACATCGCCGTGTTCGATGTCAAAACCGGTAGTTTGTATTTTAGAAAATGCGCCGGGAACGGAGGGATTGGACACATAACCGTGAGTCCGATTTGAACTTTTCTTTTGATAACAGATAATATCAAAAAAGAAAACCTAATTAATTTGTTCAATCAGAAAAATCCGGTATTCGGTCACCTGGCCATCGGAGAGAACTGCAACGATCCGTTGATTATTGTTTACCAATGGCCGACCCTCAAAATAGTCAGCGTTTTAAAAGGAAGCGCAAAGAAAAAATATAACTGGTTGACATACAGGTATAAGGATTTCATTTATTTGTAGAAGTAATTCTACAGTAAAAAAGACCTGCGGAATAATATACTATGGTTATTTTTGTTTTTTTTTTTTTTTTTAGTCAAAACGGTAAATATTTGTGTTCGCAAGCAGGTGAACCGGACAATATGCTTACGATATGGGATTGGAAAAAATCGAGAATCATTCAAAAGGCTAAATCGCATACCCAGGACGTGCACGTATGTAGGTTTTCGTCGTATATACCTGAACACTTGGTGACCGCGGGCTCGGGACACATCAAATTTTGGAAAATGGCCCAAACCTTTACTGGACTAAAGCTTCAGGGTTATCTAGGACGGTTCGGGAAAACGGATATATCTGACGTGGTCGGGATATTGTCAATGCCCGACGAAAAAGTGCGAATCGCTTCTTTATAATATTATTATTATATTATACATTACGATAATTTTCGAAGATTTTTATTTTTGTTTGCCGGTCAGGTTATATCAAGTTGTAACTGGGGAAATGTATTAGTGTGGGACGAAAGCCTGGTGGCACTCGAGGTGATGCGGAAAGAGAGGAAACCGTGTCATTTGGCACCGATTATCATGTTGTTAAATTCCGAATTTACTGCGGAGTTGATCACCGTCGGCATGGACGGTACGATTAAATTTTGGTATTACCCGACGATCGAAGACGCGGACCCGCCGGAAAACGACCGAGTACTGGAAATGGAACCATCATTCATCATTAATGTCCAGGACTCGATGGGCACGGCTAAAATTACAGGCATATGTAAACTCGACTCAGGTAACCCGAGCTCACAAGACTATTTTATACAAGTAAGTATAGAGAAGAACCGACTGTAAACAATATGCCCGTCTCTCACACTCGTCGTCACACTTATCGTCCATCTTTTCCTTTCATACGTTGCTTTTTCTTTCCATTTTGAACATACGCCGCGTAGTAATCGCGTAGTAACCGTAGTAACCGCGTAGTCCTTTTTACCACATCTTTTAACTTGTTCTGCGGGGACTTCTATAGAGTTCTTTGTTCACATGAATCCTGTTTCATCGTCTCTTTTTATATTTAACTCATTCCGCTTCTCATAATATATCCAGCATATTATTATTCTCCTTATTACGTCTACGATGTACTTTAATATTGCTCTCTGGATTAAGGTCTCCATTGCCCAACACACTAGTGCACATACGGAGGTGCTAGGGGGTACTTGTTACTCCTAAATCTCAAATGAGCATCCCCAGATTTTCAGCTAAATAAAATAAATATCATACTCAAATTGTATTCATATGAGATAAGTAATGACTATTATAAAAGTGTGTATTGATTTATATTATGTATACGAGTAATACATATATTAATAATTTATGTTATATTATTATGCAAGTCAGACACATATTAAGAATTTTATTTTGAGAATAACTAATCAAAATGTATAAACTTTGTCATACAGTAAAATAAAAAAGATGTCCTAGGATAATGGGGATGGGTGCAACCACCGTTATATGTAACTTAATATACGAGTATATCTATAAGCAACGATTAACCATTGCTAACGAAAAAAAACAATTCTCAACTAAGTTCGGTTGATTGTGTTGATTTGTCAACGATATATATATATTATGGTAAAATAATTACATATGCATTATATATTTTCTTTAATAATATTTATTTCATATTTTACCTATTTTCCCGTTTTTTCTAAGTTTTTTCCGTTTTTTTTCCATTTATTCGGAAAACTCATAGGGAAATCAATAATTGACCTTCTTAAAGTACCCCTCCCCACTTATTTTTCATTTTAGAAACAGTGCTATCATTGTAAATCGGAATAAAATAATAATGCTAGTAGAAAAGTTGTCAACAGAAAAAAGACCATAATATTTTACTAATACATACATAAAATTACGTATATATACGTATTATACGTACATACAATTTCCCGTTTTCCTCCCTTTTTTCCCAATTTTTTTCCATTTTTTGAGAAAATTCCGCGGAAAATAAAAAAACCCCTCATAAATTGCCCTCAAAAATAAAATAATAATAATAATGATAAACATTATTGTAAAGCCAATACATTCCTTGCTTCGCTCAGAATCTAATATTATATTTAATGTACCTATCATAAGATAAGATCATTTATCATAATATAGAATAGATACTAAATGTCAGTAAGGTTAGGTTTAAAATCAAGAAAAAGTAATATAAGACTATTGCAGTGCCTTTTATATAATATGGAAATAATTTTTAGTTTTTCTTAAAATTTCGGTAGGGAGGAGGCTGCATCCTACCTATCCTCTCTCCCAGCCTCTAATATAAATTCATATTAAATGTTTTCATATTTTTAAGGAGATACCTATCTCTTGTTGGTTATTTATTAGACAATGAAAGGTTCATTATTGAAAATAGGATCTCATCATTTCAATTTTGTTTATTTAATGTACAAGTAATATATAACTTTATTTTAAATATCGAATTAGTTGAAGGTGAAGGCGACCCCCCGTGATACTATAACGTAAATAATTTTAATACTCCCAAGTTTTAAACTGAATGTGTGCCAATGGCTCTATATTATTCCTCTCCTTCTTTACTCTACACTATCAATGTACCATTAGTTTTTGGTCCTAAAATGTTTCTTTCTATAGGATTAAGACGTTTTTCTCGTTTAATTTTCTTAGAGGGCCGCGTTTTTGTTCCGTGAAAGATTCACTTAATATGTCGATTAAACAAATAATCCTTTTCTGACACTTTTATTACTTATTAGGATAGTAACGGAGGATTATGGCTGGTGGACATCAAAGTGACTGCAAACGCCAAACCTCTAAAACGATTGGCTAAATTCCACGGCGACCAGATCACTTCTCTACAAGCGTCACCCGTCGATTATTTTATCGCTACCACGTCGTTGGACGGATGGTTACACGTATACGATGTGGTGAATAAAAAACTAATATTTATGCACAATTTCGCGGTACCGATCACATCGTCAATTTGGTTACCGTTAAAAGTAAAGTTAAAAATAGAATCGTATAATAGCACACTGTGTTCGCGTTGCACGTAAATAAATAATATTTGCGAAAGTTAGATATCGAATTTGGGAAATATTTTCGTGATTGGATTTCAAACGGGAATTTTGAAAACGGTCTCGGTATCATTTACTATGACTTCCTCAGCGAGAAAATTTGCAGACATTATAGGAGACAAAAATGCACGTCTCACCGTACTACAAGTAATAATAACTATCGGTCTCAATATAAATATTATCTATACTCTTATAAACTCACGAGAAATTGTTTTTCAGAGTTCTAAACCTCACACTAACAGCATCAGACACTTGGTCGTGAACCGCGGCGCTAACGTTCTCGTATGTGGAAGTGACGATCATTCGATATTTATGTATAAAATAGAAACGGGACCTTTCAAGTTGAAACCAATCGGAACGTTTCTGTTATCCGGAAAAGTTACTTTTATTCATTGGAAACCTTCAGAAGTAAATCAATTTACGTAAAAAAATATCTAATAAAAGCACTAATGCGTTCGCATAACACTTTCTTAAAAATTAATTTCAGAAACAAACAGCATTAATTAGCTGCGATAGTGGCCATATTGTAGAAGTCAAAGTTCCTAAGAGTCGACCGTTGTACACGAAAAATTCGTTTTTGCTTCAACTCGAATCACGAACAATAAAAACAGTGAGCATCAAGTCGGAATTAATCCGCGACGAATTCATCAAAGAGGTGGAAAAAAAGAAAAAAGAGAAAATCGACAAAAAGCGAGAAAAATTGCAAATAATTCGAGCAGAAAATGCTGGCGTAGAAATCGACGAAGAGTTGTACCTTCAAGATTCGGAAGAAGACGAAGAAATACCTAAACTATTTGTTCCCGCGATACCGAATCCCATACTGTTTGCTGTTTACACTCCGTCCGAGAAAAGTGTATGGGTGTCCATTGACGGATACGACGCCGGTTACTTGTACGAATACGATTTCAACTCGTCCAAACCGATTGAATCGACAAGGATACCCGGTTTAAAAAATAGCATACCGCTAACCGCGATTAATACATTGTAAGTACCTATATCAGTGATTTGCATCATTCGAAGTGTTCCTCGAAAATCGTTTGAGGTTCGCTAGTTAACTGTAACTAAGTAGTAAAAGTAGACACTCGGGCTTATTGATAGATATCCAATTGAAAATATTGAAGTATTTTCAACGTATAAGACGTAACGACGGTCAAAATGTCTACTGGCGTTTATATTATTTCTATTGTTTTACAGGGCGTCCGATGATGAATCGATAACAATTTTATTGGGATTTGCCGACGGAAAAATTCGCGTTGTAAATGTGAACGTTGACGATTTAACCGATTTCAATGACTATATCGAATACTCGATACACGACAACATAACAGGAAGAATACAAACGATATGTTTTAGTCAAGACAATCGTATGCTATATACCTGTGGAAACGATCGGAACATTTTCAGTTTTTTGTACCAATGCGATTCCGATGTCGTTGAGAAGTGTATGGTTCCGACTTTCGAAATGCCCCGGCCGGCCAAAATAATTGCAAGTTGAAACGTTCAAGTATATAGGGTGATTTTGTAAGCATGTTCGTCCTATATTTATGGTTAAACTAGAAGTAACCCACACACTGTTTTTTTCACAGTATTACAGGGATATCGTTACCAAATTTGGTTTTTCACATGAGCCTACATGTTTTATTTTAAATTGTTAATCAAATGATTTTTCTAAAAATGTTGACGTATTTTAATCGATATTACAACAAAAATTGTCCAAGTTATTCTCCTTTAAACACTGAGGATAATAGTCTAACGATGATTAGATACCGATAATTTCATAGGAGTTGTATATAGGCAATTTCTTATTTTGAATCGTACAGTAATTGGAAAACCGATTTTATGATATTGTCCTTAGTATTTAAAATAGAATAACTCAGTAACTTTTCGATCAAATTTGGATGCATAATAAGTCAATATTTGCAGAAAAATCATCCGATTGACAATTTAAATGAAAGTATGTAGTTTTTCATTTGAAAATCCAACGGTGGTATTACTACAGGATACTCCTCAATTGCTATGAAAAATTTAAGTATTCGAAAATATCACCATTTACTAAATATAAAAATTCCAAAAATTAGAATTTTTAATTATGCATAATTTACTAGAAAAATGGGTTGAGCATGCTTAAAAAATGTTTATTTATGGTTTATTTATATATATGTAACAGGATTAAATAACAAATGCAATAATTTTCTATTGAGTATTTTTAAATTATTTTTTGTATTAATAATTCTAAATTTTTACGTTATAACTTTTATATATTTTTACTTTACAACTAAAAAAAATTACTGACATACTTCATACGCAGGTGCAGCCACCATTGTAAGTGAAAAATTAGAAAGGTAGGATTTAACGGGGAATTTAATGAATCTGTACGCAGCGATTAATCATTTCTAACCTAAAACTATTCTAAACAGAGTTCGGTTATACCTGTTTTAAAGGGCCGTAATATTTACGGTAAAAATGTTAAAACATTTCATATATTTTCCCGGTTTTTCCCATTTATTGGGGCGACTCCTAGAAAAATCAAAAAATGACCTTTTAGAAAGTACCACCCCAGGTAAATTCCCTTTCATTAAAAGTTCTATACTTGATACTTAATATACTTGATTCATAACTTAATATCGTGTACACGATATAAAACAATTAAAATTTAAAAAAAACACATCATTGAAAACCCAATACATTCCTCGCTTCGTTTAGAATCTAAAATTTTCTTAAAACTCAAATTTATTCCTTGCTTATTTTACGACCGATACATTTTTTTTGTCTAATAATAAGTGATTCAGACTTACAGCTCAATTTAATATGATTAGAATATTATTAAATTGTACAATATTTCATGGAAAAATAATTTTAAAATTTAAGCGCGCAAAAAATGGCATATTCAACAAAACTTTAAAAACTGTTTAAAAATAATTAACTCAATCATAGTAAAAGTTTTCGACATCCAAATTTTTCTAAATTCGGATTTATAAAATGTTATCTTGATTTTTTTTTTTAATTTTAAGTATAATTTTCCATTTTCTTATTTCAAATTTTTTGAAAATTAAAATTCAATTCAAAAGTATTTAAATTATAGCGCCAAAATAAAATAATAATTGAAAAAAAAAAATACAAAATATTCTGTATAAAAAGATTTATTACGTTTGTTAAATAGTCCTGTTACATTCTGACAAATGAAACTAACAAATTTACGGCGTACGATTTCATTAATTTAAATTTGGACGGTCTAAGTTTTATACCAGAAATTCCAAACGAAAAACAACACAGGAATTATTGTGTTGTATTTGAGATCTAGTTGGTAAGTAAAAACGTCGTTTTTTGATTTTCCGTGGTGTTTTTTTTCAATTATTGAGCAAAACTGGGAAAAAAACGTAGGAAAAAAGACTGACATAATTCAAACGACAAGTTTTTTGATTTCCTCAAGTTTTCTTATCAAATGTGAAAAACCAAGAAAAAACGGGAAAATCAGTACTTATATGATTATTTTATAATTATATAATTTATATAATAAAATTAAAATTTATTATAATTTATTACTAATATATTTTTATATAATATAATTTTATAATTATTCTATACTTATTTGATTATTTTATCATAATATAACATACAAAGTGTGGCTATTAAACAACGAGACTACTCGCCTAGAAGGCGCCCTAGATAGGTAGTGAAGAAAACGAGTAATGCGTTGGGTATCTAGATATCTTATCTATGCACGTACCAAAACACGTTTTCGTCACTATAATAGAATTTGTGCAGTAGTGGTTTGAAACGAACGTGTTTTTTTCTCGTGCTGTAAACCATGTGTGACGAAAAACATGAGCAACGGATAAACGTAAAATTTTCTCGTTAAACTAAAAAAAACTCCAACTGAGTGCTATAAGTTGTTAAAAGAGGCCTATAGTGAGGATTTCCTATTTCGGGCGCGTGTTTTTGAGTGGCATAAATTATTTTCTGAAGGTCGAGAGTGCACCGGAATCCAATTCAGTCGTAATCCAAATTCAAAACCGTTTTCTTCGATATCAACGGCATCGTGATGACTGAATGGGTTCCAGAGGGTCAAACTGTGAACCAACATTACTATTTGACAGTTTTGGCAACATTGCGCGAATGAGTTCGTAAGAAACGGTCGATATTGTGGAAAAACAAGTCGTGGATCTTGCACCAGGATAAAGCGTGAAACGTTATTTGGCCGCTTAAGGCACTTCAGTACTCGAACACGCGTCTTACTCACCCGACTTGGCACCCTGTGACTTTTAATTGTTTCCGAAGATAAAGTCTGCCTTAAAAGGAATCCGGTTTGAGTCGATGGAAGAGGTGAAACGAAAATCGGCGGAACTCCTGAATGGTCTTACGAAAACAGACTTCCAGCACTGCCTCAAGCAATGGAAGAAACGAATGAAACGGTGTGTGAAGAGGGGAAGGGAGTATATTGAAGGGGAGCATTTGAATGTAGAATAACTTTTATAATAAAACCATTTTTCATAAGCAGTCTCATAAATTTAATAGCCAGACCTCGTATTATATATTGTTGACAAAGCATCACTATTAACTGAACTCACTCACAATCGTATTTCGTTACCAATCACTGCTTAAATATTTAAATCAAATAACTTAATGTATACTAACTTCCCAATTTTTCACCTACAACAATTGTACCTACCCGTAACTACCCGTCAGTAGTATTAGTTCTATTTTTGTCCGTTAACAACTTATCGCCGAGAGACTATACGAAACGCCACACAACTCAGAGTTACAATACACCGAACGTTGTGACGTCTATTCGACGTCGTTCCACATGCTCCCCTGGTATTCAATATTATTTTTTTGACTATTGTCTTAAATATTAACCTACATGATAAAAAATATACAGTGGATATTACTGCTGCGCTCTAGTGGTTTAATTTGTAATTTTGTTTTTGTTTATACACTGATAGTATAAAACTAGATGGTGCATGAAGCACTTCAAATATAATATTATATTAAACTAGATGTCTCGTATTACCGGTAAACGGTGAATCATGCACAGTATTGTACGAAAAACAGTTTAAAAATATAAAAACTTTTCTTTTTGTGTTTCTCCCTCCTCCTCAATTACTGTTAATCGTTTGTTGTCCAGAAATTATTATGCTCATTAACTTATTATACATTGTCCTTACAAAACCTGTTTTTTTTTTATATTCGTGTCATCAATGTAATCAATAAATCAAAGAAATAATACAAATATTAATTATACCTACTTAGGTTTTTGTTTTTGATTTGTACTTGGTTTCTGCTTAATTTCGTTGTTTGATTTGTATATCATTTTTAACAAAATTATTAAAGTTTATTAACGGTTAGTTGTAAAATAAATATTTTAAAGAATTTATTATTAACTAAGTATTAATAATAATAGTATCTATTCTATAATTATAATTACTTTTATTATTATTCAAGTAAAAAAAAAAGAAAATTTTGTGTTGGTTATAGGTAATTAATAAACATTTAAGCAGAATGTATAATATGTACATGTACGCATATGTGCGTATGAATACACATGTACGTATTTGGGTGGGGAGTATGTGGAAAGAGGACGAAAGTGTCGGGGTGGCAATTTGTGGGATGCCAGGGCATCCCACACTTTAAACATTGAGTGAGGGATGAAATGCCGCTGAGTTGCAGTGATTTCCCTTCTCAGAGAGCAGGGTGGAGGTAAATATATTATGTATACCTAAATTAAGTACTAAATAAACCTACCAAAGAAAAACAACGTAAAAAAATTCGAAAATGTACAATGCCTATATAAATAGCTCACATACTGCTAGAATAATTTGAACATTTTACCACGTATTGAAAAGGTTAATATAATCATTCCGTGAAAAGTTCTCTACTGTAATTTTTAACCAATTTACAAAAAAAAACCCAAAATCGAAAATAACGAAATTATTTATGCCATAAACTTTCTCGTATTTCCTACGTTTTTTTCCGATATTTTTTAGTGACATCTTTCTAAAAACTTGAATTTACCGTTAAGAAATAATGTTAATTACAAATCGGTTGTTTTGAACATTTCAAAAAACTAACTAACTAAAAGTAATTTTCTTTCTGTGATTAATTGGTTATTATACAATCTAAATTATTATTATTAATTTTTTTCCAAATGTTTGTCCCCTGAAAAAAAATCCGATTGGGAAAAAACAATTTTAATAATTGTAATAATATACAGTGATTAATTTTATTCAAATTTTATGTAATATTGATTACTGTTTTTTTTTTCAATGGTTGTGGAATTGTTTAAGTTTTATTTTAAAACTATTTTTAATTTTTTACCCTTATTCCATATACCTTAAATAAGTATAAATGTTTGTCTAAACATTTTGATATGCATATTATAAGTGTTAAGACCGGATGAGTAGAGAATGGTGATAAATTGATAAGTTTTTTCTACTTCTTCGGTGTAAACGATTATGACTTATATACGGTAAATCTCATACTAGTGTTATGCATATCAGAAAAATTAATTCCAGAAATATATTTCCATATTTTCCATATTTCCAGAAAAATATTTTTTATTCCAATATGGGTTCCTAATTGAAAAACAAAAGTAAATAATTATTATGTATTTATTATTATTATTTATGGAGTAGAAACAAAAAATTAAAAATAATTTTAAATTATAACTTAAATGATTCCACAATGATTAAAGAAATAATTAGAAATCATTCATTTAAAGTCCTCTGAGAAAATGGCTGGTTCACGATTAAAAAATCCCCCCGCCTATATAATCTATAGGTTAGGTATATACCTTCTATATAATTTGCAAAACAAATAAATATATATATATATAAAGATATACATTATTAATTTTTATAACAATTAATTAGGACAAAGATATTATACATACGAAAGAAAATCTAACATTCAGTTTAGAAGAGACAAAGGTTAATAAGGAACGATACAAAAACACATACTTGGCCAACAAAGAAAAAGAAAGAGTCATCTTTTTGTTGCATACGCTTAAAGAACAATTTAAACAAGTTTTTGATGCCAACAAGGCACTACCGAAACGATTACAGTTTCCGCAAGATTATTTTCAACTCCACGAAAAAATTGACGATTCACTTATTTTAGAAGCACAATCCGAAATGGATAAATTACACGCGAGATTCGAGTTCGATTATGAAAAGAGCTTACTAAGTCTCAACAAAGTGAAAAATTATTTTGTTGGTCCTGTTGTAACCGCTAAGTACGAAGTTCGAGCAGTATTGTACGTGTAATTTCATATAAATAGGAAGTTGGTGTTTTTTTTTAATTTATAAATTTATCTTAAATTAAATATTCACAGACAAACCACAGGAGTTAAAACAATATACCATAAGGATCATCAACATATATACAGTAATTTAGTCGAAGAGTTCATATCTAAGAAACACAAAACACGACGGTGAGTTTTTGAATTTAACAATATGTAACATATTGAAAATATTTTTTTTTTTAAATTAACTTAAACATACGCATATATTTATACACGCTAATAAATCTAAATGGGAATAAAAAGAAGCAAACTGGTGTAAGGTTTGTATGCGTACATTAATTAAAACTAACAGAGCGATAAGAAATTAAATAAACTGTTAATAACTCGTATATCTACTTAGGTAGTTTAAAATTTAAATAAAAAACGATTTTTGTATTCACATAAGTAATAGTATTTCGCAATGTTTAGACCACATAAATTGACGGTATTGTTAAAATCCAACGACAATCCAAGTCATAACGCAAACGAATCAGAAATTTTTCTCCGTAATATGCTTGAGAGGTATCAATTTTTCCCAAAGAAAATTCAGATTGCCATTGATAAGTACTGTGATCGAATAACCTATGAAAATGAAAAATTGCTTAATATTGAAATGTTTGAAAAAGAAAATAGAAAGGATAGTGATAATAATAACGAAGACTATGAAATAGAAAATGCTAGGGAAACTATTGGTGACTTTAAATTAAAAACGTCGCCGCACTTCAAACCGTCTGATGAGCAAAAAGTTTCGATGGAAGACAAATATGAACAATTTTTATATGTTAAAGAGGAAGTTGGTTTTCTATGTTTTAGTTAAAATTTAAACAAGTAGATAACTAATTATAAATTATACATTTTTTTTTTTAGCTTAACTCCTTAAAATCTAGTTTTAATGTAAAAATTGCTGACTTAAGACAACGTAAAATTCAGTTATTATACGACTACAAACAATTCAAATTCGATATAAATAGGATAAAAAATGAATTAGGTGATGAAGAAATAACAAGTCCCCCGAATTTTCCAGAAGTGTTAGTAGACGAATCTATTGATGTAAGAAATAAATACATAAATAATATATGTAAATCATAATATTAGATTTTAAATGAAGCTTTGGAATGTATTGGTTTTATTTAAAGTATGTATTTAATTTGGAGATGTATAGTTTTTAGATTCAGAGTGGATCGAAGAAGCTTATAGTTTTAAACAGATTTTTTTTTTCTGTGGACAACTTTTCTACCAGCAATTTCGCTCCAACTTTTAATAACAGCAATGTTTCTAAAAGGGAATTTTACTAGCGAAGTATATTATTGAGGTCATTTTTCGATTTTCTCAAGACTTTCCCAGGCAAATGAAAAAAACCGGGAAAAACACAGGAAAACTGGAAAATTCGGTACTACATTAAACAAATATTATTTAAGAAAATTTATAATGTCTATTTAATCATTTAACTATAAAATGGCATATATATTGTTAACATCACTATCAACTGAACTCCGCTCAGAATTGTTTTTCCGTAAGCAATGTTTTATCGTTGCTTATTGGTATACATTAAATTATCTACAACAGTAGCTGCACCCATCCCCATTATTCTAGGATAATCTTTTTAATATTATACATATTTCCCCGGTTTTCCTACTTTTTGGCCGGTTTTCTTATGTTTTTTCCCAGTTTTTCACATTTACTATGAAATCTCCTGAGAAAATCAAAAAACGATCACTTTAGGTACCTCCCCACACTGATTTCCTTTCGGAAAAAGTGCTATACGTAAAAATTTGGAGCAAGTCTTCTGGTAGAAAAGTTGTACATAGAAAAAAAAAACATCTTTGTAAAACCATAAGCTTCTTCGCTCTACTCAGAATTTAAAATTCAAATACACAATAGTAAAATCAATCTTTCTACGCTCAGATACTAAGAGTTGCCCGAATGTAGTATTTATTATTATAAGCGTGTTTTAAGATTGCAATTTTAGTAAAAATTACAGCATTTTAAAACATATATAACCGGACAACACTCACAATCATTTTTCTTTAGCAATGGTTAATGGTGATTTTGTAGAAAAAGCACAAGGGGTCCATGCCCTCCTCCCTCATTCGTCGTAATAAAGTATATAACTAATTTAGTAACTACAAACGAATTTAACCTTACGTAATATACACATTATTGTATAATTGGTACATAATTGTCATAATCTAAAAGTATAACTCATAGTGTTGAGATGTACATGACTCCATGAAAAACATTTTTTGAAACAATAGTTTGTTAATACAAATGTCTTGTAGAATAAAATATAACCTTATTATTAAAGAATATGTACATTTTTAAACTGGGAATGTTTATTTGTTTTTGGAAGAAAAATTAGCCCGCAGGAGGGGCAGCTATCCACCCAACCCCTCCCCCCATGCACACGCCTATAATCAACTTACAGGCTACAATAGGGGCATAATAATCAGTACAGTATTAGAAATTTTTTTTCCATGTAGTTTTATTTCTCTACTTCTTCACCTTCACCTTCATCCCATCAAAACTATTTGGGTCGGCCACGTGTAGTTTCGAAAAGTAGGAAAGAAACTGATCAATTTTGTTGTAATTCAAGTTTTCCTTTGTAACAAAGAAAAAAAAATACTTATAATGATTTATCATTGCCTACTAATATAATTATATATAATCACACACCTTGCATTCCAACTTGATTTCTAAACAGTTTCTAAACATTTATCAACAGTATCAGCGTTTTTTTTTAGTGATTGCATTTTGAAATTATATTGTGTTTCAAACTGATGTATTAACTGTTATTAACTATTGATCATAATCTGTTTTTTATAGACACATTAAAACATGTATTTATCGTATTTTATATCAAAAATTAATACATGTTTCAGCCTAATTTAATCGATTCGTATGAAGAAGTTTATCATCCTATTCAATTGGATTTTATTTTAAACCCCCGAATAAGTCAATTATACGTAAAGTCAAAAAACGATTCAAACGAAAAGTCTTCCTATTTAGAACCAATGTTGCAAAAAATGTTGAAAGATAACTTAAAATATAAACATAAATGTTTGCATGAATCTATGTTAACAAAAATTACTATGTTCGATGATCAACTTTTCATGTTAAAGAGATTACGAAAAGACGTTAAATCACAGATCACTTTTTTAGAATTATTCTCTTTGACGTTGGAAGATGAGTTACTAATTTTGAACGATTATAATTTACTGGAAGATGAATATGCATACCGAGTACATATAAAAACTGGACAAAAAAATGCTAAAATTGACAAGGTCCTTGATAAATCATTAATTTAAAATTACTTATTGATTTTAATATACCATCATTTTTATTGTAGATAATGCAACTTCAAGATGATATAGGATATTATAAACAAATAATAAATGACAAATTAAATGCAATAGAAGACATCCAGCGTAGCTTTGAATTAGAAATTCAATATAGCGATAAATTTGCAAAACTTCTAAGAGCAATTTTCAAAAAAAAATTGAAAATTCCTAAAGTTAAAACCGAAGACGATGACGGTATAACATTGTATAACTATAATTTTCATTATTACAAATAATTTGTGTGCACATGGTTTTTTGGTTTGTATTCAAATTTAAATGTTTTTACAGATTCCTCATCATCTTCTTCGTCCGACGATAGTGATGACTCTGATTCAGAAACTGAAAATGTTAAAATTGAGGAATGTGACCCCGCAAAATTAGCATTCACTATTGAGTTGAGATCAAAACGATATGAAATATTAAAAAATGTAGACGCTAAAAAAATGATAGTAGAATCGAGAACTAAAAGTTTAGTAGTGGCTTACACAGAACTGAAGACCATTGAAAACGAATTAAAGAATAATTTAGTTGAACTAGAAGTATACCAGGTTAAAACTTCACTTTAATAAATACATTTGAATAGGTAGGTATTGGAAATTTCCCTCCAATCAAAAAATGTCAAGATATCTTTTTCGTTAAATTTGTGTATCTAGTTGGAACATTGTGAAGATAAATTTTTCATTTTTCAAGTAGCAACATAATAAATGGGGGGGGGAAAGACATCCTAGGATAATTGCAGTCACAGGTGCAGCCACTGTTATAGATAATTTAATGTATACCTGTAAGCAACATTAAACCATTGCTTATGAAAAAACGATTCTGAACATAGTTCAGTTTATAGTGATACTTTTTCAAAAATACATATGTTATTTTATAGTAAAATAATTAAATAGGCTTTATATATTTTTTTAAATAATATTTGTTTAATGTTGTACCGATTTTCCTTGTTTTTCGTACATTTTTCTTGGTTTTTCACATTTGCCTGGAAAACTATTGAGAACATCAAAAAATTACCTCTTTAAAGCACCTCTTCACACCAATTTTCTTTCAGAAAAGGTGCTACATGTAGAAATCCGAGTAAGTCTTCTGGTAAAAAAGTTGCGTACAGATCTTTGTAAAACTACAAGTTTTTTCGCTCCACTTAGAATTTAAAACGTAAAATAATAACAAACAAATGTATGCGTTACAATTTCATTATTTTAAATTTTATTGGTTTGGTTTTTTGGTTGGGCCAGAAATTTTGCACCGAAATTCAAGTACTTTTACCATGTTTAGTTGCTGTTAAAAAAAAAATATTTTGATTGCTCGTATGCATGGACATCGACTATGCTCAGCACCTCACGAAATAAAAAATTAAAATGCAACAATTTGTAAACACGCATTATTACTGGATTTGGATGCAAATATAATTATGTTATACAATTATGTATATTCTATTTTTATGACATTTTTTTTTTGAATTCTATATGAAGTGAGGAATGTATTCGTTTTAAAATTATGTTTATTTTTCCTTTTGTGTGAACACTTTTACTACCAGAACGTAAACTCCGATTATCAAGTATAACACTTTTTCTGAAAGGAAATGTTCTTAGGGTGGTATTTTAAAGAGGTAGTTTTTTAAATTACGCATTAATATTCGAGATAATGAGGAAAACCTTGGTCTTAAGGTTCAAAAAGATGGAAAGATTAAAAATAAGGTTATCATTGGCAACCATTTTTATTTATTTTTTATATCTAAACAATTTTGTTTAAACAAATATTTTGACAATGTTAATGAGAATTTCAAAAAATAACTTCTCTAAAGTACCACACTGCAAAAAATATTTCCTTTTAGAAGAGGTCTTATACTTGATAATCAGAGTAAGTTTTTTGGTAGAAAAAGTGTTTTAATAAAAAAATTAATAAATAAACATCATTTTAAAACGAAAACATTGCTCAAAATATAAAATGGTAAAGTTTACGCAAATAACGGTTTTATTATTTTTGTTTTATTTTTCGTTGTAATTCAATCAAAATGTATTCTAGACCTCAATTTTGTAGTGTCATGGTAACATATTTAAAACATTCTGGTAATTTTTGAGCTCTTCTAGACATTTAATAATTTCTAGTTTTTTTAGTTTTTATTTGGTAAGCATTATATGTATACAGATAAAATCATTTGAAAAAACAAAAATTCTTGAAGATGTATTACAAGGTTCATTATAAGGTTACACTTATAGTGGAAAAAAAATGAGTTAGGCGTAATGTAGTAGTTTTTGCCTTTAACATTTTATAACTAAATAATAAGGAAAATTACTGCATTTCAAAACATGTATAACCAAACTTTACTCTGAATTGTTTTTTTTAGCTATGGTTTATCGTTGCGTACAGATATAAATTAACTGACTTAACTATACGTATCCTACTTTTCACCTACAAAAGTGGTACACCTATATTCTCATACTCAGTATCAGTTCTTTTTATTTATTATTTATTATTACTTTTTGAAATATAGATTCAAAAACAGTTGAAACTAAACGATGTTGATATGGTAATAGTATTTTATAAATCTCAAATGGCCGAAGTTAAATTACTTAAAAATTCAGTCTTGGTGTACAGTAATCTTGTAAAAAGTCTGATGAACAGGGTGAACGAGTTAAAAAAGGAGTCAGAAGACATTCAATCAATGCATAGTGAAGAGCAAAATAATGCTAAAAAATCACGTAAAGAAATAATAGATATGAATCTTGAATTAAAAAATTACAAAGAGGCCATCAAATATGAAATGGAGAAGAAATTTAAAACTACAGCAAGTTGGAGTTTTATAGATAATATGGAGAGGACTTTGATCAACTATATGATTATTTGTTCTAATTCTAATAGGGACGAAATGATTGGACGTTCTACTAAGGAAATTAAATTATTGAAAGTATGAGTACCGGGTGATCTATTTAAGTGGGTGCACTCATTATCTCGGAAAGTATTAAATTTTTCCGGAATTTTTTTTCTAGAACATTTAAAAAACAAAAATCTCTACAATTTTATTGTAATGTTATTTTTTGCCATCCTTGTTTTTGGGAGTAAAACCAATAGCTACTTTTGATTTTCAAACGGCAACCTATATTAAAAATTCGATAAATAGATGGAGTATTAGTTAAAATAAATTTAAGTGTCAGCATTTTTGATTTCTGTCAATTAAAATTAAAATTTAAAATTAAATTTAAATTTAGGTTGGAGGAGAGTCGTGGTACGTTATATTAACACGCCGCGCGCTGTACCGCTACATAAATGATACTCTACTTCTCTTCTCCAACCAAAATTTAAAAGTGTAATATTTCATCAACGGATTGACGGAAATCAAAAATTTATTTTTTACTACTCCATCTAAATACTTTAAAAACTTCATCTATTTATGGAATTTTAAGTATAGGTTGCCATTTGAAAATCAAAAGTAGCTACTGCTTTTATCCTCCCCCCCCCCAAAAAAAAGGGTGGCAAAAAATAACATAAACATAAAATTGTAGAGCAGCTTGTTTCTTAAATGTCTAGAAAACAAATGCTAAAAAAAGATAATACTTTCTGAGATAACGAGTGTACCCACTTAAATGGATCACCCGGTACTATAATATAATATTATAATACATTTGCAGTTTATACTATTAAATTCTAAATTTTGATTTGATTTATTTTCAGAAACAAATCAGTGATTGGCAAGAAATATTGGTCGATTTGTTAGCGGCTCAAACCATCAAAAATATTACTTTAAATAGTGTTCGCGTATGCTATTGGCAAACTCAACGATTGCTAAGTGTCCAACACCAAAATTCTGTAAATATTACTTTCAAAATACTATTTAATAATTATATTTAAACTATCAGTTTAGTACCCTACTAAGTCGAAATATGAATTGTAGAAACTTTTAGGTGCATTGTAATGTTGTTTGTTATTTGTAATCATATAAGGTACAATAGGTATATTAGATTATGTATAAATATTTTTTTTTTTTTTTTATGTACACAGATAAAGCTTAAACATTTAACGGAAGCCGACGAATCGAATACATCGGATTTAGACAATATAAAGGACATCTACAGCACTTTATTGAAACGCAAAGAAGACCTATGCAAAGAGATCCAATCGCTAAATCAGAAAGGCAAAACGTTCCATTCTGCAATATAACACCGAAATATTTCTTTAATGTTTGCGTATAATATTATATTATGTTAATGTGTACATATAAATGTCTTATTACTATTATTATTTACAGGTGTGCTAGTGTCATTAGAAATAAGTTGATGTTTTATGCATTCAGTTGTAAAACATAGTAATCGCTTTTCTTATGAATTAACATTTTCGTCTATTTTTGTCTAACTAAGAATTTTCAAAATGTCAGTGATGACCAAAGCAGAGACGTAGTTTTAGAGGCATTGGTCCCGGGTGTCACATTTCAAGTCATGTTCTGTTAATTTTTAAAACGTGTTAAAATAGTAAAACAGTTTACACTCAATCGATAGCGCCCAAAATAGCGTGGTTTCGACTCTAAAATGTAGAGTAATACATATAATGTAAAATATACAGGCTGATATTCTAATGTGTTGATAAAAAAACAAGTTCTTATAAAAGGGCGCTAAGAGAACAGTGCCCCATGGTGTCAAACATGTAAATACGTTTCTATTACCACTGTAGTAGGTGGAAAGTTGTATAGGTATATATAGGATATAGAGTAATTTAATTTATATACTGAAAACAACGATAAATCGATTGCAATCAAAAACGGTACTGAACGGAGGGTAGTTAATAGCATTGATCGTTTTTTTCCCTTGTAATCAAAGTAACGCAGAAATCAATATAAACAAAAAAAATCGAAATTATGTCGATTTTTAAATTGTATAGATAAACTAATAGAAATTCACATCTTTTAATGTAACGCGTGATTAAATGAACGTATTTTACTTACAGAAAAAAAACATACAGAGGAACTTTTTGGAACAAGTTTTGGGAATTTTAATCAAAAGTATTATAGAGATAAATTCCATACAATAGTGTAAAAGCCACAGGTGAAGTATAAAAAAAATCAAAACCTATTTACTAACCTAAAATGTTTTTTTTGAAAAAAAATATATAGCAAAACTAATCTACACTCAGAATCTAACAAAATAATAAAAATTAACCGTATTTTCTATTTATATTAATACTCAGTAATTGTTAATGATGAAAACTTTTTAACCGTTATGTATTCGACTTTTTTTATACTCTGATCGTAACGAGAAATCTACTGGTTATAATATGTATATTTTTTTCTATTTGTATATTAACAATTTATCGACCAGAAATCTTGATCCATTCAAAAAATGACGAGAAATCTTGTTAGAGATGTCATTTTTTATTTTCGAAGGAATTTCGGTGCGTTTAATTCTTACGCTTTATATTTTCTACAATAAATAGTGTTCCAATAAAAAAACAACAAGAGATCATAGTTGTTACGTTTTTAATCTAGTTGGTGAATAATTAAATCGTTTTTTTTTTCAACCGGTTTTCCTGATAATAATTAGAAAAAAGCAGAAAAAACATAGAAAGTACATAAGTACATTAATATATATCTTATGATAAAATATAATATCTAAACATCAGAACTTGGAGTCCTTGGGTTCTTGAGTGTGTTTTCAGGAAAGTTTTTCGACAGCGGACAATTTTCGAAAAATAACGTTTTAGACAATGGGTTATCAGTTATAGGATAATGGAGTTCAAACAAAATTCAAAATAGTTATTACCACCGAAATGTTATTTAGTACAAAATTACATTCTTATCATAAATATTGATTAACTATTGAATCACCGTTATCAATTTAAAATATGTTTTTTTTGTTTTATTCCTATTCACCCCATAATTCCTATTCACCATATTTTACTATGTAGATAAAATTATTTGATCAAACAAAAATGCTTAAAAATTTAATACGAGGTTCAAAAACAAATAAAAAATTGAGTTTAATGTAGTAGTTATTTTAGATTCTGAACAGACAAGGAATGTGTTGGTTTACAATGATATTTATTTTATATTTTTTATACAATGTACAAAACTTCTACCAGAAATCTTGCTTCGATGTATGAAGTGTAGTATCATTTCAAAAATAATTTTATTTAGATAGTACCTTAGGTAGGTTATTTTTTTATTTTCCAAGCGGTTTTCATAATAATTGGGAAACCGAGAAAAACGTAGGAAAATTTACAAAAATAATTATTTTATTTTTTAATGTAGTTTAAAATATGTGTAGAGATTTGAAATTTGGACAGAAAACTTATATTTGCTTTTTCTAGATATAGTAAAATTTTCAAAATATTTGAACTATTTTTAAACTATTCGTAGACATTTTAATTTTGTGAGTTTTTTACGTAATTTGTAATCTGTAGATACTTTATGGAAAAAATTGTTAGAATAAACAGAAATACTTGAAAATTTGATAAGAGCTACATTATAAGCCATACTTAGTGGTCAACAAGAAAAAGTAGAGTTTAATGCAGTATTTTTTTAAAATCGTAAATATTATATCTTTTTAAAACTGTACAACCGAACTCTACTCAGAATTGTTTTTCGTTAACAAAGATTAATCGTTACATTTAAATCCCCTATACATCCTGTACCTTTTCAACTTCTCACCTACAACAGTGTTCTATCTCTTATGCAAAGTATGTCCGTCTAAAATTAATCGTTAAAAGATCAAATTATAATGAAAATCGTAGATATTAGATTTCATAACATGTATAACCGAACTCCGTTCAGAATCGTTTTTCACTAGCAACGTTTTATCGTTACCCAGTAGATATAAATTAAATAACATGATGTATCCTACTTTCTATACTTCCACCTACAACAGCGGTGTACTCGTCAACTGTAACGGTTTTTTTTTAAAAAAATCTAAGCTGTAACGTTTACCGAACAGTTAATTTTTTATCAGTCTCTTTACGTAACGTACGGTTTTAACGGTTGGGTGTCGTAGAATCCGAGGTATTGATTCCTTACTCGGGAGCCCTCCTACGGACTCGCCTACGCAAAAATAAAATTTGGTAGGCGACGTTTAAGCATTAGGAACTTATAAGCTCGTGTGTCGAACGAACGCCGTAGGGTACGGCGGCGGCAAAGCATTTTCGCGCGCGTATCGATCCGTCCGGCGCGACCTTCGTCGTGGTTTTTCCGCTGAGCTCCTGGTATCCGACGTCAGTTTCACGAGCGTTTTGCGTGGGTGACGGTTTCCATGACGGCCACTGACGGTGCTCCAATTGTTTTTTTTAAATTATTTTTTTTAAAGCAAAGTCGGGCGATTCACCCTTCAAACGAATGATCCTTCGGTCACAAGAGTTACGGAAAAAAATTATTAAAATATAAATTTAAATCGTTTAGTTAAAATCTGTATTATACCATTAAAAATATAAAATAACATATATTCTACTAGGTTAGAAAAAATAAGTGGGGAGGGGTAATTTTTGGAATTATTCTGGTAGTTGTGAAATGCCAATAAACGAAAAACCTGTATAAATAATGATTTTTCGAAAAAAAGTGAAAGTGACGAATTGTGTACGTTCTACGAAATTCATTTAATGAGGTCAACTCGGTAATTTTATTTTTTGAACATTTTATGCATCTAGTAAATATTTTAACTCTGAAAAGGTCGAGTTTTAAGAGTAAGTTTTTTCGCTTAGCGTGAACGTATTTGTGAACAAATATTTTTTTTTGAAAAGTCGTTAAACTTGCCTATACACAACCCCTTAAGTATTTGGCGTGCTTCACTAATTATTTAACATTGTTATATATAATAATTTTATGAGTTTGAATACAAATATTGTATATTATTACTTTCGTTTGTTTTGGTAGTCATTTTTTTTCTTCTTTAAGGTTCTCATTAACTCGTATACAATTTGTGAGGACTACTCAAAGTAATCGAAATCGACTGCTTTTAAGTGCTTTGTAGTTTTTTTAACCCACCATCAGTCGCATCATTATTTGTAACACATGTGGTTGCACAAGGTCTTTTTGACCATTCACTTATATCTTATATTTTTTTTTTTTAATATTTTACATACAAATGCATTTGTTAATGATTTACAAAAACTATACTTCATTTATTTACTATATTTTACAATAAAAGTTGGTATTAATGGAATTATTATACTAAAGCTTAAAGTGAAAATTAATTATTAAAAATACCGATATAAGCGTGTGATGACTAACGTGATGCGTATAAAACTAAATGAATATATTACAACCTTCGATTAATTATTTAAAGAGATAAGAAGTAAGTGACTGGATATATTTTTTTTGTTGGTTTTTTCGTTTAAAATTGGACATCGATGAAAATAATACCTAACAAAATTTATACCGAGTTTAGTCGCACACGGTATTTTTGACGGATTACAAGTTTTAAAATGGCTATAAATTCCACAAACAATAATTAAATGTTCTAAATAGTTTTAAAAAATAGCTTTACATGTAAATTAAAGGTATGAAATTGCATGAAATAATATAAATTACTCACAATGAGTAATCAGTAAAATAATAAACTTACGGTCTAAATGACCGTGGTGTGACTCATGGCGGGTTTTTATTGAGCAAAACCGAAAATGCGTAAAACTCACAAAATTAAAATATCTATAAAACGTTCAAAAATGGCTTAAATATTTTCAAAGTTTTACTACGTCAAATATCAACTAGGTAAATATTACCTACGTATTTTTCGGTTTTGCCCAATTGTTAAAAAAACCACAAAGAAAATAAAAAAAAAACAACTTTCTTGGGTCATTAATAAGATTAAAAATTCAACAAAATTCTTGTCGTTTTTCTGTTGGAGCAATATTTCTGATAGAAAACATAAGTTGTAAACACATTAAATAAAATGAAAACGGTAATGCTGCCACGCTAAATTTGCTCATCGAGCTAGGCTATTTCACTGTTTTATTATTTCATGGTACAAAATAATATATTATTTAAAAAATTGCCCGTCATGAAAATAATTTTGAACTGGATACAATGTACATATATGTAGTATGTATGATAAAAATTATACAGTGTTGTATAATGTTATTATTGTTGATCTAATTATAAATTTTCTTTAGACTGTAAACAATTTAAATTGTTTGTATAATTTTAAATATTAGTTTATGTAAATATTTTATCTAATATAACCGAATTTATATCCATTAAAATGTAAGTCAAAAATAATTATAACTTTTTACTAAAGTTGACTAAATCCACAAAAAATTGTATAAGTTGAAAATAAGCATTTTCAAAGTTCCTATCAAACTTATGATATCAAAACGCAAGATGTTTAAAAATCGGAAATAAAATAATGAAATTGTTAACTTTGTCATATCGAAATTCAACTTTAGCTCAAAAACCTCGAAGCTATCTTCGTAAATAGTTAAATCGATGCTTACATTACACCTAAAATTACACTTTTTTTCGAAAGATTTAACACCAAATACCAACATTGTTTTTTTGCAAACCGATTCAGATCATTGTCTTGGAAATGAAGACTATTGAAATAACTTGAAAATTTTAACAGAATTATGATGAACGAGCGGTTAATTATTGACAGATTTGAACGAATACAGCTCAGTCATCAAACAAAACGAAAAAAATGTCAAAACGTCGTGAAAATCATTTGTGAGTATGGAATGACGTTTCCAGGCACTAGGCAACAAACTGTAACGAAATTATTATATAGAGAAATAATCAATATGATGTATCATTAATAAATTAAATTTCAAATTAAAATTTAGTTTATAATCTATAAGTTATCGTTGGTTTAGTGCCATCGGAAACAATTTTTTTTTTTAAATTTTATGGTTTAAATAACATAACGTGGAAATGTTGATAATTTTAATAAAAAGAATAATCTTGATTATAAAATAAATAGTTGATACAATGAACTATGATTATTAATTTGTTAATCAACGCTAAAAACCATAGGCCTTTTTGGATATTTTGACGAAATTTTATGAAACTAAGAATCAATTAACACTAAGAAACAAACATGGAATGTCTGATATACTTTAAGTTTTTCCTTAAAAAGTTTCTTTCTAATTATTTTTTTCTTCAACTTTTCAGACTTAAGGAAAAACGTATATATTTTAAATGGAAAAATTTACCTCGTTACAAGGGAACATAAGAATTATCCTAGAAAGTTCAAATAGGAATCAACATTTTTTTTTCGCTTTTTAAAAATAAAATTAGAGTCCATAAAAGCAAACGTATCACCATCTCCCAAGTAAGAACTACCCTATTATACACAATTTCCATTATGATATGCACTTTAGTTCATTTATATGCCTTTTTTTTCATTAAAAGTAACTTTCTGGTTTTATTTTAAGTTAATTCCAAAATTAAAAGAAACTTGTATTGACAGAACCTAAAAAAAAAAAATCACTTGAGGATTTGGCCATTTCGATTTTATAATAAAAAATCGATTGCAACTAATTTTGTACAAGCGATTTTTTGACGACCCAACTAATTCCAAAATCGAAATAACATTTAGAATTGTAGCTGCATTCAATGTCCACTAGTAGTACGAATCACAGACACAGTATTTAAGGGATTGTGTATAGGTAACTTATTCGACAGTTTGACAAACCGTAAATTCTATTCGCAAATATCCATATTAATTTACAAGTAATCCTGTGTCAATCTTACGTACCTATTATACTTACTGGAAAATAAAACGAGTTTTGGTCTCTGTTTAAAACCTGAATATTTTCACGACAAACTCACACTGTTTTTTAAATTTTTTATTAATTAAAATCATATATCAAATCATAGTACTAAAAAATATGTCATTCAAATTTTAAAAAAAATATAAAGCTATCAAATTTTAAAACAGTAATATTTACTTTATAGTCAAAGGTACTTAAACTCCCCGTTTTAATTACAAAAAAATTATATTAACTATTCCACAGTGAAAATTTAACGCTTTTATTTTATTCCTTCATGCTCTTCAATTAGCTATTAAATACAGATTCCTATCTAGATTTCTTTATATCTGATTGTCATTATTTTAGAGTAAATGTGATTCTCTAATTAAAAAAGCTGTCCTAAGATAATGGGGACGTGTACAGCCACTGTTGTACTTAGGAAGTTGGTAGGTAAGATGAAGAGGGGAATTTAAAGTTATAGCAACGATAAACCATTGTTTACGAAAAAACGATTCTGAGCGAAGTTCAGTTGATAGTGATGCTTTGTCAACAATATGTGTATTATATTATGACAAAATAATTAAATAGGTATTATATTTTTTCTTTAATAATATTTTTTTTAATATTGTACTGATTTTCCCGTTTTTCTACGTTTTATCCGTGTTTTTTCTCGGTTTTTCAAATTTGCTGGAAAATTCCTGAAAAAATCAAAAAATTACTTCCTTAAGGTATTCTCTCGAGAAAATTTCCTTTTAGTAATGTACCTACATCGTATACATCGGAATAAACTTTCTAGTAGAAAAAGTGTTTAAAATGAAAAAAAATTAATAAATAAAATAAAAATCTTTGTAAACCCAATACACTCAGAATCTAAAAATTTCGTTTATAGTTTTATAAAATTTTAACAAGTATATTACTATTACCTTAGTGTCCTATTATTTTATTTCTTAAATTGTGTATTTATTATAAGTTGACTTTTTTTTTTTAACAGTCAATTTATATTATACTCGTTGTTTAAGAACTTTAGTCTGTTAAAAACAAATAATGCTATAATGAATGGCTTAATCGTAGATGGTTTAGAAATAAATATATAACAGAATAAAATAAATGCATTTTGCAAATCACCCCGGAAAAACACCTGTTGATACGTTTCGTTTGCGTTATTATAATTCAATTAAATATATTTACCAACCCCTTCCCTACCCATTTTCCCGAGAACCAACAACCACGACGGCCACGACAATTTATTGAATTCAGAATTATCAACAAGAAAAAAGAGATTTAATTTTCGAACTTTCTTCAATACACGACCATCAAATGTTTGTTTGTTGAGAACCCGATCGCCTCGTCGAATCCGCCCGAATACGGGTCTGCTTTTAACCCTATAATTTCCGGTTTTGGCGACTGGGCCGTCCAAGTAAACGAACGGATATTCAACAAAATTATAGTGTTGGACAAGACGTGATATAATAATAGTATATAATATTCGAAAGATAAATAATAATATTTTTACGTGAAATATAATAATATAATAACAGTATAATATGAGTAGGTTATAATAATATAATAATATAATAATATAATAATAATATAATAATATAATAATAATATTACGTTACAAAAAACGCACTATATCCGGCGGGGTAAAACGGCCGGGTTTTTTTTTTTTTATTTCAATTTTTTTTAAGTATTATTCAATTTAAATATATAATAATAATAATAATAATATATTGGCTATAATTTTTTTTTTTTATCTATCGTATGTATATACGAACGAATACAGCGTTATGATAAAAATATACTCATATTTTAGTTTTACGGCCCTTAAGTTCGGGTGGAATAGAATATAAGTATAAAAACACACGAGCAAAACACTTACGATAATATAAAACAAAAATAGAAAAAAAAAAAATAATAATAATCGAGATTACGTATTATAGGTATAATAATATAATAGGGTAAAACTGGTGAGCGCGACCAATGTGACGTCGTTCTGCAATTACGTCCGTATATGTATTATTCAAACTTTTTGATTTTTTTGTATTTCTTCTTTACAGGAATCCCATGTCGAGCGCGTTGTACAAAGCTCGGAGGTCGTTGTGGCTGGACACTCGCCAAAACGGAAAGTTCATCTGTTTCATGCAAATAGACACACGAACATAAATATATAATGGTTCCAAATAATATTATTTATGCAAATATTGAATAAAATATAAAAAAAAAAAAACGCCTATTATATGCACTAGAAAATCGCGGTCGTACTTGGCGCTATTGGTAGGCTACTGTTGTAATAGGTGAGAAGTTACGGGAAAGTATATTGGATACAGGATGATTTAGAGAGCAAAGATAAATCATGGCAATCAAAAAATTGATTCTGAGCGGAACTTGATAAGTGAGTAAGTAAGAGATAAGTAAGGTTATCGTGGTGTTTTCCGGGTGTAATGTACAAAAATTAAATTGATGTGCATTGTCATTTGTTTTCAGATTTTACATTTTTTTTTTTTTTATACAAAAAATGTTGGAAATCTCGAAAAAACGTTTCAAGTAATGTATCACCACGGGGAAATATCGTATCATTTAAAAGGCACCGGATGAAAAAATCGAAATATTTTACTCGCCAAATAAGTGTTTTCTGATAAAACCAACAAAATGTTTTAGTAAAACCAAAACTAACAGCTTCTTTTTGATATTCAAAATCTTAATTAAATGAATGGTCCACGTGACAAGAAATACTTAAAAAAATACGCTCGGAGTAAATCAAAATTTTCGGTTAGTAAAAATGTTAAGATTTTTTCACAATGTCGCGGTGTATCAAAAGTTGCCGAATTTCTGGCCGGCGAGGGGGTACTTATTTGTAACGTTAGATTTTACATTACTCGAACGATTCACAATATTTTCGTTGATTTCTGAGTTACCTCGACTGCTGTTCAAAAACATGACTAATAATATTCCGTTCAGAATCGTTTTTCATTTGCAATAATAATTTATCGCTGGAAACAGTGTATATAAATTAAATTACACTGTATATTCTACCTTTCTAACTTTAACCCACCAACAAAAATGGCCTACCCTCGAGTAGTATCGACCAGGTTATTTGTTTTAATGCAATTTAAGGCGCACACAGTTTTCGCACATTCGCTGAAATTACGCCTCACTTGCACACAGATTATACACGTAGGTATACATTTTACACTTATACAGACTTAGGACTGTCTGTGAATATTTTAACTTTATAGGTGTAGTTAAAATGTGCTTTTGGTACGTTATACGTTTAAAACTATTTTATATGTCAACCAGTATGATCATTTTTTTTTTTTTTTTTTTAAAGCGGTTACGCAATATGTTCGCAATACATCAATCGGTCGATTTCGAAATTCGGATATTTTGCGTATAGATTTTCTCATACGTGAAAAAGTCATAATTATTGAAAAGGTTAGGATGATAATCGAAGTTTAACGAATTGTGAAAGTATCATTATTGGTAAATACCGGTAACGAGCGTTATCATTATATCCGACGATAATATTTGAGATAAGAACGGTTAATCGCTAATAGTCGTAAAAATGTTCGGTATTATAAAAATATTTTTGTGATCTCTGAGAGGACTTGTCGCATATTGTCAGTACGATAACTTTCATCAGCGCCCGCGAGCCGCCACTAATGAATACGTTGGTATCGGCGAGATCGTTGTCTTATCTGTATCCACACGTAGGTAATAATGTCCACGTATTATAAACGCATATAACTATTATCGCGCGAACGGGTTTTAAGGCGGGATACTAAAGGGTGTTTAGTCCCCTTTGAGTTTAAAATTAGTACACCCCCCCCCCAAAAAAAAAAGCTAAATACGATATTTCATGGTAACGATTAAATATTTTATCCGTGTATTTTATAAAATTAATGAGAGCAGAACGAAATACAGATTTCTTACAGACAATCCATGGGTATATACAATAAAAGTAGGTGTATGAAAAATAATGTTAAAATAGTTACGATCAATTTCTACGTACAAAATTTTAAACGAAATGTGTAAGTTGCTCATTGTAAGGATTGCGTAAAAGGTATTGCAGGGACATTACCCCCCGTAGAGTTTTTGACGTGACCGTAATTTCAGCACCCCCCAAATTTTGTATAGTTCATAGTTACGCGTTTATTATGTTCTTTCTATAATATTTTGTGCGCAAACGGATGGGGTTCCCGTATTGTATAAAACGCGCGCTGACTACCGTTTTAGCCGCGATTTATTTCGTTTAGATTCCGGGGCTTGAGTCACGAAGATCCGATCTCGCTATTTTAATCGATTTCGGGAAACTAAAGATAAAACGCATATTCGGGCGTTTACGACGATTGCAATAGTTATTTTTCAAACGACCTGGGCTGAAATCCCAGTGCAATGATTGTTGAAATACGCCCGTTTACCGCTAGAAAAAGCATCGGTGTACGAAATCGTATACGATTGGCCGTACGTAAATCGTTTTCACCGAAATGCGACATCTCTGCTCTTTACGACCCGAGCCCCGGGATTTATCGCGCGCGTCTTATTCACCTGCCGAGCGGCCCGTTCTTCCTCGGCCCCGTCGCCGATCACCACGTATGTGCATTTCCGGCCGTACCGCTGCACCACCCGGTCGAAACACGCCTCTTTCGTTGATCCGGTGGACGTCGTCCCCGACACGGTTCCGGACCCCGCGCCGCTTCCGCCGCCCGATTTACCGCCGCCGGTCGATGGGCCGCCACCCCCTCCGGCCGCCGAATAAACGTTTTCCACCGCGAAATGCGGTCCGAGTCCGTACAGCAACAGCTTGGCCAGCGCCGGGATCAAATGCGTCGTGGTAACCAGAACGTTGACGCAGTTGGGTCTGTAACGAGAGCGGTTTTTTTTTAATTCCGAGTGAAGCGAAGAAGCTCGTGATTTTACAAAGGTGTTTTTTATTTCTTTCATCTGTGCGCATCTTTTCTACCAGAAGATTTGCTCAGATTTTTAAGCACAGCACCTTTTCTGAAAGGAAATCGGCGTGGGGAGTAAGGAGTTTTCTCATCAGATTTGAAAAACCTGACAAAACGGGAAAAATATAAAAAATGTAGGTATTAGTTAAAATGTATTACGGCCTTCTTTTTTTCTGTGCATCACTTTTCTACTAGCAATTTTGCTACAATGATAGCAATATTTCAAAAAGGAAATCTGAACGGGAAAGTACTTTAGAGAAGTAATTTTTTTGATTTTCCCAAGAGTTTTCCAGGGAAATGTGGAAAACCGGAATAAAACATGGGAAAATCGGTAAAACATTAAACAAATATTACTATTTATTATTATAAATATTATATTAAAATATAAAAGCCTATTTAATTATTTTACTATAATATGACAAAGCATCACTATCAACTGAACTCCGCTCAGAATCGGTTTTTCGTAAGCAGTGGTTAATAGTTGATATACATTAAATTACTTACAACAGTGGCTGCACAAATCCCCAATATCCTAGGACGTCTTTTTATGTTATTTAATTTTTTGACGAATTATACGTTTTACGTTAATTTACGAGCTAGGGTTGTAGGGGGGAGGAGGTGTTATAAAAAAATTCAAAATCATTTTCTATTTAGTTGTTTATTTGTTAAAAACTAAAGAGGACGCGCAAAGGACACAGCAAAATATTAGCATTTTGCAGGGACGACTTTGTGCTATTATAGTTTTAACATTAAAATGAATTGACTTATTATCAATCTTAAAAATAAGAACATTATCTCTACGATATTGGCGCTATTTTTTCAACGTTTAATTTGCAAATAAACATTTTCTTTAAGCGTTATTAAACATTTTAACAATGAAATATCACAATTACCCGGTAATGTTCTTGTTTTTATGTTCGGTAATGGTGATTATTTCATAATAATTCACTCTAGTATTTAAAATAAACAGAATGATATTGTCCCCGATGAACGCAAATTTGTTATGTCTTACGTCTGTAAGACGGAGACGATACATACGAATCTCGCATGTCAAAAGGGGGGAAGGGCGTTTCTGCACCTAAAACACCCCTACCCTCCTCGTTACGCCACTGTTTAACAACGAATGTCCCCGTTTACGTAACGCGTCTTCCGTATAATTGCCCGCGAGTCCTAATTGTATGACGGGTAGTTTGAATGGAGCAACGGAACCGGCGGGATAAAATAAAGGACGTACAAATCGACACCGCGGGACAGTATGGGATTATTCGCCATTAATCTTTATAGCCGTGTTATTTTATACAGTTAATTGAACTCGTTATGTTTGTTTATACAATATGTTTATGATCGCTATTATTATTTGTATCGTTGTATTCGACACAAGTTATTAAGTTTTTGGATAAATGCCGATTTTGATAAAATATTAATTCGTTGACTATTTAATGCACATCTTGCTGACTGGAGTTCACTCCGTAAAAATAATTAAATAATTAGTAAAACGGGACGAACCGTCTTACAGGACGTGAGGTTTGAAAGGAATAGAATACGGGGTGACGTCTACGATCCGATTCCAGAGCGTAAACGCCTATTGCTATAACCCGGAGAGCAATCGTGGGTTTAACAGTGTGCGTACCTCGAGTTGATGACGTTCAAACACTTGACGGCCATCGTGAGCCAGTCGTCCGTGTGCAATTCGATGTCGGCTCTGAGCTGGAGCCAAGCTTCTCGTTTTCCGGGTCCCAACAGTCCTAAACGACGAATCAGAAAAACACCACAATAAATCGATCCCGCGTATAAAACATGGATATAAACTCGGCGGTCATCGCGCACTTATCGCGGCGCGTTACCCACCTCCCACCGAGTTCCGGTACTGGTTGTACAGTTCCTTGACCCTGCGATACCGAAACGCGAGCTTGCGCATCCAGTCCACGCCGCCACCGCCGCCGCCACTACCGCCTCTCAGTCCGACGGAGGTTCTCAGACCGCCGCCGCCGGACGAATTGACGACGGACGTTCCGCCGGAGCCCAACAGACTATGGTGTTGCTGCGAATGGTGGTGGTAAGCCTGCTGTTGATGGTACGGGTTGTGCTGCTGCTGCTGCTGCTGCTGCTGCTGATATTGGTGCTGTTGACTGTTATTGCTGTTGGCGGCGGCGGCGGCGGTGCTGTTAAAGTGAGACTGGTTAGCGAAATGGTGCTGATGGTGCTGAGTGGCGACCGTGGCCGCGGAAAATCCGTCTGCGCTAAAGTCGTAGCCCGACAGATCCTGGCCGTTGTCGTCAGACGCGGCGTCGTCGATGTGTTGGGCCTGATCGCCGCCACCGTACTCCTGTAAAAATATACATAAATACATCATCACTTACCGAAATCGCACCGCGAATAATTTTTTACCGCGGTTTACGAGAACCGCCCGATACGCACCTCGATTTCGTTGAAGAAGAAATTCTGGTCGGCCAACGTGAATATCATTTCCTCCATCCGGTAGCCGAGTGGCTGCATGACCCGCTGGTCCTGTGAACGAAATAGATAATATTATGTAATCTTCATGTTTAATCACGAGTCACCGAGCCGACCTTGATTAGGATAAACTGTGTGACGCGCGAGCTTATTAGACAAATGGTTATACACTAATTATCCGTCATTAAACGTTTATGTTCGGAACACAGAATGTTCGAGTTATCTGTAGGTTTTCATTCGAGCGATCGAGGTATTCGCAAGGAAACGACATTTATTTCGACTTGTCTTGACAAGGTTTTCGACTTGTCGAGGTGTATACGAAATTTAGCGAAATAAATTCGATAAAAATATTATACCTTGCCGTGGGTGGCCGCGTAGCCGCCCGTCAACAGCGAGTTGAACACGATGATCGTCTCGTCTAGGTCCCACACGAACACTCGGTCCAGCGGCGGACCCTGTTGTTGTTGCGTTTCGGCGACGGCCACCGCCACCGCGGCCGCCTGCGCGCCGGTCAACGCGCCCGTGCCCGGAACACCGCCGTTGCCACCGAATTGCTGCTGTTGCTGAAGGTGAGGAAGGAGATGCGGGTGCGCCGTGTGATGTGGATGCAAAAGCAACGACGACTGCTGCTGTTGTTGTTGTTGCTGTTGCTGCTGCTGTTGTTGCTGTAGCGCAGCCGCGGCCGCAGAACCCGATAGGCCGCCGGCGGCTGTCGCTGTGGCACCTCTACGACCCCGGCCACGACCGCCGCAACGGCCCGTCGTTCCGCCGCCCGTGTCGTTTGTCGCCGCAGACCCCGAAGTCCGTCTGGACTTGATGACCGGTGGCGATGACAAGCCCGTTCCGCTCGACGGGTCTGACGATGCACCAGCCGCGGTCCTCAGCTGCTGCAAGGCGGGGGTCGGAGGACTATCTACAACGTGACCCATGACAATGTTATTGAACGAGTAGAAAATTAATAATAGCTCAAAACATCATATTATGATGCACAAAAAATGTATAACGAATGAGTAGAGTGACGAAAAGAGATTGGATGAAATGAGAAAAAATATAAATTAATTATAATAGGTATATACTAACCAGGCGCTATCGGAGGTGGAGGTAGCGAGGGTACGCCACCGCCGATCACCATCAACTGGTGGTGATGATGTTGGACGTCGTGTTGTTGATTGACAGAAGCTGTAGAGGGTCTCAACATGTGTTGGTGTCTTTGTTGTTGACCGCTATGGTGATGGCCGCCATGTTGACTTTGACCACCACCGCCGTATATTGCGGCAGCCGCCGCATACGCAGCCGCTGTGGCCGCCGCCGCCGCTGCGGAAGCCGAAGTCACCACGTCCTCGTCGTCCTCATTGCCACCTCCGTCACTTACACCGTGCTGCAGATGGTGGTGCTGTTGCTGATGATAATGAGGATGAGAAAGACCGACCACTGATGATTGCGGCGAGAATTGTTGTTGTCTTTGGTGTTGTTGCTGATGATATTGCTGGTGGTGGGCAGCATGGGCTGACGAAAATTGCTGGTTGTGTTGTTGTTGCTGTTGTAAACTATGGTGCGCGGCGTTCGTCGACAGTTCGTGATGGTGGTGATGAGGGTGCTGGTGTTCAACGAGATGCGGTTGCTGAAAGTGAAACTGGAAATCTTCGTGTTGATGGTGATGCAAAAGTTGAGAGTGTTGTTCCTGTTGTTGCTGCTGATGGTGTTGATGTTGATGGTGAAGGTGAAGTTGCAACTGCAAATCGCCTCCGATCTGTTGTTGGTCGTGGAGCAGAAGAGGAAGTGGCGGCGGCGGTGGCACTGCCGAAGGATGATGTTGACTTGCACCCCCGCCGCTGTAATAGCCGCTGGTCGCGGTGCCGCCGGTCTGAGAATGAGCCTGGTGCTGTTGCTGTTGTTGGTGATGTAAGAGGAGTAAGTGATGATGGTGGTGCGGGTGAAGGTGATTGCCGATTCCGCCCCCTATCATGTCGGCTAGACCTGACCCGGCGGCGGAGGAGGTGTAACCATCGACACCGTAACCGACACCTGTCGTTGTGCCCAAGTCGTAATCGTCCTGTAACATACACGTTTGTATTGATTCATTCTAAAACGTATGCGTTTGAAAAAAAAAAAATACGTTATTTACGGAATCAAAACGTTTTGAAACATTTACGTATGCAATTAAAACGGTTTCTATATCAACATTTTTTGTTTAAGGGGGTCGAATACGGTTTTTAAACATTTTTCCAATTTTGTAAAATTTTAAAATTGTTTTACATTTTAATGACCATCCATAATAGTACATCTTTCTTACTCTATCCACTGTCGGATAAGATACGCATTGGAGGGAACATTTTACGAATGAACATGATATGTTGAACCAATAAGCTAGAGTACTAAATTCGTCCATTTCATCCATAAATTCAGCCAATTTTAATTTTGAAAACGTATTCGAATTCTTCGATTTTTTTTTTTTTTTTTTTGTCTATGTTTTGTAGGAAACATTTGTTCGTTTTAGATGTTGGTCTGTTAATTGCATTGGTTTTACAATGATGTTTATTTTTTTATTTTTTTTTTTTATATGAACAACTTTTCTACCAGATATTTTGATTCGATTGAATATGTCTAAGTTCTTTTTCTAAAAGGAAATCTGACTGGGGTGGTACTTTAAGAACGCCATTTTTTTATTTCCCCAGGGGCTATCCCCGGACCAAATGAACTCAAACTCGAGAATTAATCATTTTAAAATTATACAATTCGTATTGAACTTCAATATAAATTTTACTTTCGTTGTCACGGGAGGATGGAGTTTTTTGAGTTTTGAAAACTTCTACAGACTCCCAAATGAAGCCAGGCGGTTGAAATTTTGTACATACATAACATAAAATAAGGATGTGTCTTTTGCGGAATTTATCTTTAAAATCCTATCTCTATTTTTTCAACGATCGAATTCCATTCATTTTTCGGAAGTGATATATAGACGTATAGAAGTAGTGTATAAAGTGGTATATTGTAAAGTAAACATACGAGTATATGACGCATACCAGGATTCTTATTAATGGGTTTGTGCATATACCTGCAAGAAAATGTTTCGTTTATGGGTATAAGCTAACTAAACATATGGTCATTAAAGGTATACAAGGTTTTTTAATTTATCTTCACCGCAAAACCGCAAAAGAATAATAATAAACAATTATTATTTTATTATCCGTCCAAAAAAGAACAGACCGGTGTGTCAGGCAAATGTGACTGCAGCAGTGAGTTAAATTAGCGATTAATATAATTAATAGCTATAAGTATATAAATGTTTTAATTTATATTTGTAGTGGTTTTTAATAAACGTAGGTACTAATTTTCATAGTCGCTAGAAAACTAAACGAACAATTTAAAAAAAAAAATATAATATGATATATTTATAATATTATAAATATAAACTTCCAACTTATTTATTTATATACTTTTAGATTCTGAGTGTAGTGAATAATGTATTGGTTTTATGAATATTTCTATATTTTTTTTTTTTATACTATGTACACCATATTCTATCAGGAAACTTACTTCGATATATACGAAGTAGACCTTTTTCTAGAAGGAAATGTTTTGCAGTGGTGCTTTAAGGAGGACATTTTTTGATTTTCCCAATAAAATGTGAAAAACCGAGAAAAACATGGGAAACTGAGAAAATCGGAAAATCGATACAATATTAAACAAATAACATTTAAGAAAATATATAATGTCTATTTAATTATTTAATATTTTAATAATATGATTAATTATCATATATTTTTATTTGGTAAGTACTCCGTTGATATAATTGTTAGACATAAAAAAATAAATTGAAATTTTACAGGAGTTTAATTTTTGTAAGTCGTACTTTGTAATAAAAAAAAAAATTTGAATTAAATGTTATGGTATTTATTTTTAAAAGAATTATTTCCTTTCTGTATCCTACCTTCCCAACTTCCCAACTACAACAGTGGCTGCACCTACGTGCGAATTATGTCCGGTTTTTTTAAATTTATTTATTTAATTGATATTTTAATAACATATTTATTTATTATTTTTTTTTTTTTAACAACTATTACCACGCATAATTCGCAATGGTTTGTAGTATTTATCGAAAGTTTCGATCATAATACACTAACCTGTTCCTGTTTGGCGATAGGATTGGTGATCGGGGGCATCGTGACCGTCGCGGGCGGTGACGTCGATGACGACCCCGCCGTCTGGTCAACTTCAATCGATTCGTGCAATTGCGGTTGCTGCGGCGATTGCGGCGGTGATTCATCACCCGCGGCAACCGACGGCCGCGCCGCATCCATCATCATCATCATGTTCACGTCATTATTGCCGCCGCCTCCACCGCCGCCGCCGCCACCGGTACCGTCCGTCGTCGTGGCGGTAGTACTAGCGGTAGTGGTATTGACCCCGCCACCGTTGTCGTCCACGTCCGAGTCGTCCACGTCTGCAGCGTCTTCCACGTCGGCGGCGGCCGTTCCCTGATGCTGCAGCAGCAGTCCGAGTCGGTCCCGCTCCACCTGAAGCTGAAGATCAAAGTCGCCACGCATCCGACCGGACCCGGAAGCGGTGCCGCAGACTGACGCTGCGGTTATCGCCTGCGACGCTGCCGTCCGACCGCGACAATCCCGTCCGTACGGCACTCTGCGGACAATATATTATTATTACCACGATATCGTTTTGTAATATTCCAATAGCGATTATTCTGGAACCCTCGGCGGTTTGGGTACGGAGACTTCGAGCGGATTCGGGACCGACGCCGCACTGACGGCTCGATGCGAACAGCGCCGAACAGTATAGCTAAAAACAATAATGGATGATATCGGTTGTGATAAGATGATAATTGTCGCAGGCGGCAAAACGGAATTCGCGTTAACAGCCCCGAAATCGAATATTTCACGCTTAAATGGGTACGCGTTAAACGTGCGTGTATTTAATACGTTTTCAATAAATACAGTAAACAAATGTGTAAAAATAAAAAAAAAAAAACGAATATTATGAATGAATGCGTCGCCCGGAGTGTTGTGATTTGCGACCGGTTTCGAATTAAAAATTCATCATCTGGTATAATGCGATCGCAATCAAAATGTAAAACGCGACTCGGTCTTTTCGGCTAAAACGTTTTTGTTGCTGTTATTATTTTTGTAACCGAATCATCGTCTACACTCGTCTGTTCTGACCGGATTGTCACTTGGTCGTTCCGATATTAAAAGGCGACTGTTGCGCAGCCGAGTTGCTATACGTATGCGTAGGTACGTTTGACTTTTAACGATATTATCGTGTGTTGTAAATATTGTGGTGTCGGTCGCACCACGCCGAAATACTTTGCAGACTGCGAGCGGTTAAGCGTTATGATGTTATTACAATAATAAATTGACGCGGAAAGATTCGCCGTTCCCCTTCCCTGTCATTCCCGCCACACCCCGCCCACTCGTCCCGGGAACCGGATAAACGCAATATCGCGTAAATCGCATTACGCGGGAGAGGCGGCGACGGAAGTCGGCGATAACTGTTATAATTACACCGACGACATAAGCGGATTACGATGGCGACGCGCAGGAAACGAAAGATTATACCCCGTGCATTGTATTAATAATAGTAACAATAATAATAATAATAATAATAATACACTTACGCCTCGTTTATTGCGGTAAATTGAGCGGCGTAATAATAATAATAATATTGTAACGATATTGTTACACAGTGTCCGCGCGGAGATTGTCAGCGTGTACGCATCAAAAAACCAAAGAGCTGATACCGGGGACGCGCGTGCGCCACTGTTGTCGGGTACAGCGTACGGTGGCGTAACCACAGAACTTCTAACGCCCGTGGCAAAATTTTGTCCTGAAGGACCGAACCGAAAAGTGGCCCTGGTCTAGGCCACCGCTACGACCCTCATCAGTTGTGGGCCTGTGTCGTTTGCCCGCCTTGCTCACCCGGAATTTACGCCACTGGGTGGGAAGTTGGGACGGTTGGGTACATAAAACCGTTCGCTTTATATCGGTTGACAACAATATACCGTAGCTAACGAAAAACGATTCGGAGTAAAGTTCGGTCGGTTATACATATATACAAGTTTTCAAAGTCCGTAAAATAATCGCGATAAAAAATACAAAATACTACATTGAATGCAATATTTTATAAATTTATTTTTTGAATTATCAAGCATTTCTGTCTGGTCCAACAATTTTATTCGCCGAATACCTATCAAATAAAAATTACGTGAAAGCGCACAAAACTAGAATCTCTATAAAAAGCTCAACAAATCTAATTACATAGACATTATACATTTTCCTTAATAAAATTTGTTTAATATTTTCTCTACTTAACTTATGATTTTCTCATTTATTGGACAAAATTCTGGGAAAACCAAAAATTGACCTCTCTGAAGTGCCTCTCCAGTCAGATTCCCCTTCGGAAAAAGCACTATCATTGTAAAATGTGGTGCCAGTGGTGCATTTAGGAGGGGAGTCGAAGGGCGCCAAATGACCTCAGTGGTAAAATTATTACAGTTTTAGAGGCGGCAGTTTTATTGAGTGTATTGATTTTTGTTTTTATCATAATAAATATGTAATCGGTCGTAATTGCTGTTATACAAAAGAACCGTGAGTGATTTTATGTCGAGTACGGCCGCCTTTTGTATAAACTTTTTTCTACACTTTGTACCTCCGAGTAACAAGTAATAAATGATAACGGATTATCGTACCAAATCATTTTGAATTGAATGTGATATGAGTGAAACGACTGATAACGTATACAATTTACTCATGTCGTTATTCGGTATGGTTTTTGATATTTTAATAAAACGCTTATAAATTGTAAACTGTTAAACCCTATAGGATATACATTTTAAAATGTCATTCGAAACAAGCAATGGGCGCATTTGTCAGTAACTAAGGGTGTAGGGAAGGGAAGGTCTGAGTTTTTAAAGAATAGTTGTTGAAAATATGTGGGAGGGTAGGGGGCAGCATTAAAATTGTTTCGGCAGGGGGCGCATAATATATTCCGAATGCGCCACTGATTGTAGCGATTTATCGGAATCGGAAACATATAGCGGCCACGATTTTTCGTTACGATTCCATTCGGTTTGCGTTGGTTAACGTTCGCGGGTAAAGGACGTATCGAACTGGTTCGGCAAACCGAACGTACCGCGGTCGACAAAGGACATCGGACGCGAATTCGTAGCGTGCAAACAGTACTCGGCACTCTTTCGGTATTATGTTTGTTCGATAAATTGTCAATCACGTCATTACCGCGATTTATCGTCATAATTTTTGTTCAAATTAATCGAAAGAGTGAGTACTTTTTACACGCAACGATTTCTTGTCCAATACGTGTCTTTGTCGACCGCGGTACACTCGGACCTCGGTTTGCCATTAGCTTTCGCTATGCGTTAATTTGTTCACAACAGTGTTTCTGCGTGCCAACGGATCAAACGCCTTGTGTTTGTTAACGAGCTCCGTACAAGCAAGGTCCTTTTGATTCCTGTCCGAGTGTTCTATTGCTCTAGACCAGTCACAGGCGGGTAAATAGAGTTCTGTAAATTCGCTCGAGGAGTCTCAATGTCACAACGCGAAACCAAATGAAAACCGTAGCGATAAGTGGCCGCTGCGCAGTGTGCACGTTCCGCCTTATCGTTACGGTTTGCAGAAATTGACGTCGGCCGGCCGGCACCAATCGTCCAGTCCGTTTCCGATTCCCGTCAACCGTCACGGTGCGTGCTGTTTGTACGCGACGGTAAACCGTAACGATCCGATCGTTTGCTGGCAATTTATCGCGCGGCGTTTAAGACCTAACCTTTTGCCTATATTATAACGGCGCGGAACGATAATACGACGATGACGTACGGGCGTGGGTCGCGTGAAACGGCGACGCGTCCTGGAGAGAAGCAGTACGCGGTCGCGTGCGGGCCGTGGGGGGGAGGAGGAGGGGAAACGACGGAACGTACGTATTTTATACAGAAAAAAAAAGTAAAAAAAAGTGTGACACGGCCGCCGCGGCCTAGACGGACGGCGGGCCCACACACGCGGCCGCCGCCGAACGACACGACGACGACGACGACGACGATGATGATGTTATCGGCGCGCATACATCACGGCGGCGGCGGCGAGTAGGTGACACGCGTCGTCGAACCGGGTTCTTCGTCGCCGCGTTTCGTCGTAACGTTATTACGGTTCCCGTTTGTTTTTTTTTTTTTTTTTTTTTTCCCTCAAAAATTTGTCGTTTCCCTCTCCCCTCGCCAACCGCGTATAAAAGACGCGTGTACGTATTAAACGCGTAAAACAATCATAATAAAATTCCACGCGTTCGACGACGCGCGCGCGCGCGCCCGCGCGTTCGGGACGGGCCGGGCGATTATACGCGTATTATAAATGCACACCGCGGTCGACCCATCGGCGGAAGGTTTTTTCCGAGTCTGTTTCGTCTTCACGGCGCGCCGCCGCCGCCGCGCGCGTCCTCTTCCCGCGGGCGATACGGACCGCGACGCGTCGGGGGGGGGGGGGGGGAGCCGGGTGTATGGGGAAACCAGAAAACCAGATAAATGCGCTCGGGTCGCGTAAACACGTCTACGCGACGCGGCGGTTTTTTTTTTTTTATTTCGTTTTACATAATTATATTTCTGTCGTCGTCATTAATTTTTTAGGTATTTTTTTTTGTTTTTTTTTTTTTTTACTCTCGCCCGACCGCGCCGGCCCCCGTGTACAGAGTGCGCCGCAACGCTCGTCCACAAAAGTAGGTATAGATAGCGGACGGAGGGACGGGGGAAGACGAAAACAACAAATAAAGCGAAAAAAATTAATAATAATATTAATAAAATAACTAATGAAGCGACGACGTATTATAATATTTTATTATCGTCACCGCGAGAAATTTTTAACATTTTTTTTTGTTGCAGACACGAATGAATAAATGCAGGAAAACATTTCGCACGCTGATTTCGTTGACTTTTTTTTAAAAGAATTGTTCAGATTCTGACTTTCTGAGTGTTGATTTTACAATGATGTTTATTATTTTTTTTTTTGTACTGTGACAAGAATGTCTACCAGAAATCTTGCTTAAATATATAAGTGTGGTACTATCTTCGAAAGAAAATATTGTCTAGATAGTTCTTTAGGGAAGTCATTTTTTAGATTTTCCCAGCGGTTTTCAGAATATCTAGAAAAACCCGGAATAAAACGTAAGAAAAATGGGAAAATTTACGAAAATAATGTTTTTATTATTTTCAATTTTATTTTTGTTGTAATAAAAATAGTCTTAGAGACTTGTAAATTCAGACAGAAAACTTATATTAGCCTTTTCTAGGCATTTTAATATTTTCAAAACATTTGAGCCATTTATGAGCTATTTATAGACATTTTAATACATAATTAAGTTTGTACATCATTTTTATTCGGTGGGTACTCTGTGGTAAAATGCTTGAAAATTTAACAGATTAGTTCATTGTAAGTGATACTTTGTGGTCAAAAAATGAATATTAACCTTTATTTAGTATTTTTTTTATAAAGGAATTTTAATATCAAATTTTTACGAAAATCGTTTGTGTAAAAAATTGTGTGGAACAAATCTTGTTACTGGTCCATACAAATTGTTTCAATATAATACTTATTTTACTATAATAATATATTGTTAAAAAAGCAATACCAAGTTCGGCTCAGAATCGTTTTTCGCTAGCAATGAATAATCTTTGTTTACAGATATACATTAAATTCCCATCCCGACTTCTCATCTACAACAGTGATCCGCTCATCGTGCAAAATTTTTCCTTTTATTTTCATCGTAAACGAAAATTATTTTATTTTAGGAAATTTCATCGGAAATGGATGTAACAAAATATAATTACCGTAGAATAATGTTCTTGTTGACCCGAATTGATTACAGGAATTCAAAAGAGTCAATTTTTAGTCAATTAAAATCAAGATTTTTCCTGTTATTAGGGGTTGAAATACGTTTCGAGATTAAATTACTAAACAAATAGTTATAGTTGTTGTATTTTTAAGATTATTAGAATGGGGGATATAATACCTAACTACACCCCTATTGCGCATGCCACTGCCTACAAGAAGTATTGTATATCATAATCACGTATAAAACCGTAGGACCATGTAAGCGCAGCCAAGGGCACCCATAAGGTAATTTTCAAATGGGGGACAAAGTGAAATTAGATTCCAAAACTTATTTATAGCATAGATATAATAGGTTGGTATTTCTCGAAAAAGAACGAGGAAGAAAGGGTATGCAATTATGTAAACATTATAAGCTTAGTGATAAGCAAAATTCTGCGGTTATCATTATCAATATACAGAATATAATAACATTTATTTGGATGAATTCAAAGCATACATAATTATTTTTCGGATACCTAATAATTTTCTATTGGGACTGGGACATATTCTCTTCTCGGCTCCCCCCCCCCCAAACGGACGCCCATGAGCGCAGCTAAAACCCGGAGATCTTTTCATTTCGGATATTTACATATTTATTGTATACGTATGGGTACGGGATGCTTTTTTTCGTATATAAAATTACACGAGTGTTGTTTTTGATGTACATACACATTTTTTAAATTTTTATCAAGAGTACCCGTACACCTCTGTAGGCATATTAGCGCTGACCGTAAATTTTACCCGCGAAATTTTAAATACGTACCATTATATAATAATATAATTATACAAAAAAAAAATTAAAAAAAATACTAACATATTATTATAACCGCGAACGTTGTTATTGTTTATACTATCCGAGTATAGATAAACAATATCATATGATGTCATACTATACTATACTATTATGCGCAATTTCGTACGATTTTTTAATTCATAAATAGTGTGCATATTTTGTAATCGTAACGTTGTTGATTTTCGTCCTGCGTTATAATACGAAAATAAGACGTATGGTAAGCTTTTTTTTTTTAATATTAATTTAATAATTATTATGCAGTGCGTAATACGTTGTGTAGACTGCAGTAAACGCGCAATGCGACTCAACAACGTATACATTTCCCCGATTTCAAAATAAATACCGATATAATAATCTACGGTAAAATGTACTGTAGATTTATTTAATAATGCCGGTACAATGGTACCTACGAGCGCCGCAACAACCCGTGGGGCGCTGGGGGTGTAAAGTACCCCCGGGCAGCCGTGTCAAGACTCAACGACGAGCCGATCGGTAATCAGTATAAATAGTTATTCCGTTTACCGATTAGCGAACGGGATTTTTTTAAGGGATATCCAGTATTACAGTGGCGTGAATTGGCCTAAATTTCTGGTGGTGGTGCAGAGAAATCTTTTAATTTTGAATCCAATAATACTCCAAAAACAGAAACTTTTAATAATAATAACTTTTAATAATTATATAATAATAACTTCCTTTGTAAATTACCACCTAAAAAACAATTTATTTTTCCATGGGTACTAAATTTGTTTTTATGAAATTAATATAGTTTAAGTTTTGAATTATTTTAATTGTAAAAATTTAAATATTGTAACATTAAAAGAAAAACTATAAATTGGTACTTGTGTTTGAGTTTTTTTTTTTTTTTTGTTTTAATACAATTGGAAATTATTGTAGACCTGAAATATTCACTGCAAATACTTATAATATCAGCGCTTTTCTAGACGTGGTAACATTTTCAAAAAATTCTAAGTTATTAATTCGAAGTTACTTTTTATTTGGTATAGTACCAAAAATTGTTTTAGTTGATCAGTAATACTTGAAAATTTCATAATTATAAACAGGTCAGACCGCACTCTGTTCAGAATCGTTTTTTTGTCGGCAATGGCTTATCGTTGTACTTACTTATCGTATCGTTTATTCATCCTATATAGCCATAAAAATAATAGTATATACTTATACGTATGGACCCCATGACTACATATTCCTCGTGTAGTCGGTAAAAATACACCCTGTATACAACAGACGTCCGTTACTTCTCGTCACGCATTCACGCCACTGCGACGCGAAGCCGCAAATAAGTAACCCGAAACCCGGGGGTGGGCGACCGGGCGTAGCGACGCGCGCTAAGCGAACGCGGCCGAGGCGATGATTTTCGTTCGTAATTTAACCCGCCATGATGGCTGCGCGTATAGAAATCGATCGATATTGTGAAAATGTGGATAATATTGTTTCCTCCCACCCCTCCTCTTCAATCACCGATTATCATCAATATAATGGCGGCTTACAATGGTAAAATCGTGAAAAAATATAATAATAAATTTGAAAAAAAAAAAAATACTCGGATTTATTGTTTCCAATTGAAAAGGTATTGGTTAGGACATAATATATTATGTTATTGAAGAGTATACTATATTGTACGGTTCACTAAACTAAAAACGATCCTGAGCAGATAAAATATATATTTTTTTTTTTGTTAGAATCGAAATCAAACATTTCACTCGTTTTTCGCTAATATAATACAAAACTAATATATCATCTGAATATTTAGGTACAGGTTATCTCACGAAGATATACCCCTTAAATATCTCCGGAGTTAATAAAGATAATCAAATTCTATTTTTTTTTTTTTTTATGTTACGCACGGGGATGAGGACTACAAATATTTATATTTATATTAAATTTTCCGAAAATAATAAAATAAAAAGTTAATATTTTTTTATTAAAAAAAAAAAAAAATTAATTCAAAAATAAATATTTGTAATCCTCATGACTGCAGTGAGTAATATAAAAAAAATGTAATTTGTTTATCTTTATTATCTCCAGAGATATTCAAGAGGTATAGTGAGACAGTCCGTATTTACCTACAAAATAATATATTTAAGAATTTGTACGAGTATTACGAGTTTAGTCAGAGTTTAAATGCGTAAAAAAAAATATTGATAGGATGATTCGAAAAAAAACTTTTTTTTTACATTTTATGACCACCAACAAATGATACATATCATTTAAGGGCATATAAAAATAAAACCAAAACAATATTCAACTATAATAATCAACTTTTTGTTTATCACTAGGTACCTAATACCTTTAAATTACGTGTAAAATTGCCATGCATTTCTGATCAAATTAAAATATTTTGTATTCAAATAAAAAACTGGATGATATCAAATACTAATTAATATTTTGAAAATTTTACTATGCGTTTAAAAATGGTGCATATAAGTATTTTGTGAAATGTCTACGTTTTTTTTTAATCAAATTATAAAAAAAAAAAAATCAAAAATTATGAAACTGCGTTTTGTTTATATACTTTCTCATATTTCTTACGTTTTTTTCCGTTTGATATTTTATACCTGTTCAAAATTCCACAAAAAAGGCGTTCTTGTCGTTTTTTTTGACTGGATTATGATTTTTGGTAGAAAAATTGTTAACAAACAGAAAAAAAAAATACAAAATACAAATTCACACATATCATATAAAATCAATATATTCCTCACTGCGCTCAGAATCTCAAGTGAAACTATTCAAGTATTAGTATTAGTTAAACAATTGTAGGTACTTTTTTTTCTTGTGAACAACTTTTCTACCAGCAATTTCCATCGACAAACATACGCAATCGTGTTCTACCTAATCAATGTACCAGTTTTTTTTTTCTTTCGAGACTCATTAACTTACGTAATACAAAGTTAAAATGAGACACGTTATACCAAGTATGACAGCACAGAATGTTTTTAGTGCGTGGTTAAATCCGAGATAAATTTAAACGTACGCGTTAGGTTAGGGTAGCCTTTGCCGCATTCGACCAAGTCGTGATTGCACCTGTATGTATTTTCGCGTATCTGAAGACGATTGCATTGTTTTAACATGCGGATGTGGCCTGCATATTTAATGCGTTTGGAAAAATTATATTTCGGTTCATTTCGTTTCAATATGTTAAACAGGCTTGCGCCCAAAAGTACAAATGAAAAATAGACGCAGCGATATGTGAAATTAAATATAAAAAATAACAAAATAATCAATCGTAATATGTGAACGAGACGGTATGACCATATTACAAATACCATAATTCGATGAGCTAACTTTTCATTTCGATGGGAATTTGCGGAAACTGTAAAAAGAGCAACGTTACGGACAGAAGGAAAATGCAGGTGCAATTTAACGTGTTCGAAAAGGGAAGCGAAATCGATTCTACTGTTGAGGTGTTTATGAACGAGAAAAGATATGTCGGTATGAAGACGACGATCAACGAGGGAATGCAGATTGAACGCCGAGAGCACGGGGTCGTAGACATAGAATGTATGCGAAATTTATAGCGTAAAGCTCTAACAAAAGAGAAATTAAAATACTTTGTAAACATCGGTTAGGTAAGGTTAGGTTCGAGGAGGTTCGGTTCTCGGTCCGGCCGCCAGATTTTTAGTCTTGTTTTCTGGACGAGAAAGGTCGCGTCAATATCTTCACTTTATATTCGCCTATGTATAGGTACTTACTGATAGGCAGGGTCAAAAAAACTGGCCGATGGGTTGGCATAAATTTCTCCTCCGCAGTATCGAAATAAAAAAAAAAATAACAATACAACCTTGTGAAATATAAAAACACGTTACGAAAATTGTATTTTAATCTTTGATTAAATATTACAACATATATATCATTTACTACGCGTATTATGTGTATGTTTTATTTTTATCTTTTTATGAATGTATGATAGAATTGTCAGAATTAATATTTATCCCGACGTGTATAAAAATAGTAAAAGTAACGGAAACGATTGACGTACGATTGTCGTGACTCTAAAAAAAAAAATATTACACACTTTCATTATTGGCAGGAATAAAACACAGTCGAGACATATGTCTTAAATGGTAATATGGTAAGTATTCCGTATAGTTACGGCTGATATCTGTAGACGTTTGATTTTTAATTACATAAAAAATTATTTCGCGCTTAAGAGGACGTGCTACTTTCCGTATTTAAGGGTTATATCGTATTTGTAGACGAGTATTTCCTTGAAATATGGGGAAAAATTAAATTCTATCAAAATGTATAAATTTGTTTTCAAATACCTTATTTACGACTAAAACCCCGTGTCGTTATCACACGTATTTATTGTATCATCATGAAATTAACAAAATAATGTTAGGTACCTAATTAAACAAACGTTGTTTACGGAGAAACCGTTTCGCATGAGCTAACATTATTCGGGCTCTAGACTTAATTGAGTATCGAAAATTTTAACCGTAAAAAAAAATAAATAAATTACACCATGCAACACATTAGTTTTAGATTTTCGATATTGCGATAAATTACGAAATAAGTTATTAGAGTTGGAAAAATGTCAAATTACCAGACTTTAGAACAATGGTTGCTTTATTATTATTTTGTAATATCGAAAAACTAAACCAAACGTTGGACAGCACAAGTTCTCATTAACGGTTTTTATGACAATCCATTCCTTATCTGTTCACATATGTTAAAATGTATATATTTTTCAGAATCGATGTCACCGCCGCGACCGGTGCCATTTTCGCCGATAGCATTTTACGCGTCGTGTGCAGTGTTGAGATCTATCTAGATTAATGCTATTGTTTTTTTATTTTACCAAGTCAAAAATGTATCTGAGTGTTATCAAAGATTAATAATTAATTATATTTTTATCTATCAGACAAAATATACCTTAACATATTTTGAAAAATGATGCTACTATAGTCACATAAACCGACAATCAAAATAAATGTATCTTTTATTTTTAAATTGACGAATTCTACTTGTCTATTTTGTCGTGTGAGATAACTTTTATATTTGCAATCTAAAAACAATTGATGTATTTGCATCTCGTCAATGGACGTGTGACGCTGTGCCGACGTGAAAATTCCGTCGTCAACGCAGTGTGTATTCCCGAAACCTAACTGAGCTGGGACACAAGTGCCTGTATCCGGTTAGGGTCCGCGGTGCCTAATTGTCTTTATTCCTTTCCCTAAACGATTTGACCAAAATGATTATACAAAATATATATTATGTATAAATTAAACGTATAGCGGCTGTGTATTTTCTACAACAATATGCAGAGTGTCCCACGATGATCTACCACTTGAAATAACTTTTGTTTTAATTAATATTTTTGTTATATATTGTTTAGATGATTAGTATGCATCTGCGATACAGTTTATATATTAACACACAACAACAACAGGGGACCTAACATAAAATCGTTTGTACTGACTTATAGCTGATTAAATATTGCAATAGAATAACCACAATAGGTAATATTCATACTTGCGAAAACTTTAAAAAATCGTAGAAAATAAAAGACCATACTTTAACAAAAGTTTCAACCACCAAAATTTGTCTAAAAATCTATTTGACAAAATAGATACTATGAATTTTTTTAAAAAGATTATAAATGTTTTATTTTAAGTTCTCCTCCTCCCAAAAAAAGTATGTTCACATACACACTATAACACAGAGGAATGTACTTATTATTTAAAAAAAAATATATCAAAAATATTGAATAGAACAAAAGATATTTCAAGTTACAGATCATCGTGAGACACCCTGTAAACCTTAGGGTGAAACAAAAAAACATTTTTTTTTTTTTTCGTAGGCGTATGTTTATATTTAATTTGTAAAAAATTTGGAAACGACATGAAGGTAAAATATTAGAATTTAACAAGGTACAAATTTGGTCCTGTTGATGAGAAAAAATCAAAACTCAAAAAGTTATTAACCATCAAACGCGCGATTTTTTTTTTTTTTTTTTGATATTAAGATTTTACTGTTTTTATTAGCATATGCAATATCATATGGACTGCAGCTCAACTAGTCAGTAAAATAAATTCGTTATTATATTTGACAATCCGACGATAAAGGCCTACTTTTTCTTAGTTCGTCCATTTTCGTATATTTTATTTTACGATTTTATGCTTCTCGGCTCAAATATTTAATACTATTTGAGAAATTTCACAAGCGTTTTCTTGTATACTTTTAGTTTTTTTTTTTTATACAAGTAGAAAAAATGTCTAAGAATACGAGGTCTGGCTATTAAATAACGAGACTGCTAATGAAAAATGGTTTTATTTTAAAAATTATTTCACAACCAAATGTTCCCCTTCAATATACTCCCTTCCCCTCTTCACACACCGTTTCATTCGTTTCTTCCATTGCTTGAGGCAGTGCTGGAAGTCTGTTTTCGTAAGACCATTCAGGAGTTCCGCCGATTTTCGTTTCACCTCTTCCATCGACTCAAACCGGGTTCTTTTTAAGGCAGACTTTATCTTCGGAAACAAGTAAAAGTCGCAGGGTGCCAAGTCGGGTGAGTAAGACGCGTGTTCGAGTACTGGAGTGCCTTATGCGGCCAAATAACGCTTCACGCTTTTTCCTGCTGCAAGATCCACGACTTGTTTTTCCACATATCGACTGTTTCTTACGAAATCATTCGCGCAATGTTGCCAAAACTGTCAAATAGTAATGTTGGTTCACAGTTTGACCCTCTGGAACCCATTCAGTCATCACGATGCTGTTGATATCGAAGAAAACGATCAGCATGGTTTTGAATTTGGATTACGACTGAATTAGATTCCGGTGCACTCTCGACCTTCAGAAAATAATTTATGCCACTCAAAAACACGCGCCCGAGATAGGAAATTCTCACTATAGACCTCTTTTAACAACTTAACACTCAGTTGGAGTTTTTTTTTAGTTTAACGAGAAAATTTTACGTTTATCCGTTGCTCATGTTTTTCGTCACACATGGTTTTCGGCAAGAGAAAAAAACATGTTCGTTTCTAAACGCTACAGAAAAAATACTAATGCGCCAACAAAAACCCAAATTTGTACTGGCATAATAGACACTTCCAGCTAACCAGCGCTGTATTCGGTTTTCCCCTAACCTTTTCGGAATGCTCTCTTCAGAGGGTAGAAAATCAATAGGTACTTTCACTTATTACTTTTTCGACCCTTCATCCTAACAACCAAACTTTATTTGTTTTTCTCGGTATTTTACTCATTGCTATCACAAAGTTAAAATAAAGAAAATAATTTAATTTTGTACCTGCATTCGATTGGTAGAATAAGACTGTCATAATTCGCACTTTGAGGAAGAATTGAACAGCAGGCGGTACGTGAACTGCACAATACAAACGATAATATGTAACTAAATAAAATGAAATACAATTTTACGAGAGTAGGTGAAACATAGACCATATTGAATTATGACTTACTTTATTATGATTATGAAAATAAAGATTATTATCATAATAAATAATACATTCGTATATCATATTATCTATGGTCGACGACCGTGTTGCATTCGAACGACCAGTTTAGTACGGGTTATTTTCGTTGTAAAATAAATTATTGTAAATTACAATAATATAAGCTTAACATCAAAATAAGCAATATTAGTTCTTAGTTTAAATAAAAAACGAATTTTCGTATAGGAAAAATTAAAGATATTCGTTTTGAATTTGTATTTCTTTTTAAAAATATTTCACATTATGTAATCTTTTTCGTTTCATGGCTAATAACTTTCGCAGTTTTGATTTTATTCTCATCTACTATAGGACCATATTGTTTCCTTATTAAATTCTAAATAATCTATCTCATTGCCATTTTTTAGTCAGCTTAAACAAAAATAAAATATATACAAATTACGTTATTTACTTAAAATCGCTGCACGCAAAGTGGAAAGTGTGTTTATTTTTTTGATCAGCTCTAAATTATACCGATGCATAAGTATATTTTATTAAATGCAATCAATTCTTTAAATAAAAATGTATATTTTATTATTTATTTGTTTTTTTTTCTTCAAATAGGTAAAACGTAGTATTCATCGCGATCAAGATTATTATTATTAAAATATTTTCAATATCAATAAAATTAATTTGATTACTTTTTAAAAATTATTCAATAATAAATAATATTTAAAATATTTTAGACAATCATTAAATAATTATTGTTTTAAATAAGTTCAGATAGAAAAGTCTAAATCAATATAAATACATGTTAACAAAAAAAAAAAATTGGCATAAAACAAAAATTGTGTATCATATACCCATATATTTTTTACAAATACCCGTTAATACCTAATGGTTTATTAATTACAATAAAACAATTGATTCTTTAAAACAAAATAAATTGAATTTTTCAGTCGTGTAATAGTTGTGATCGCAATACCTATGTTTTATTTAAAAAAAAATTATAATGATAGATAATAAAATTGATTTTATTTAAAAACATTAATCGTATTTAATTTCAATAAAATTTTCTCAGATAATTCGGGCCGAATCGGTAAAGGTGTAGTATAGACAAGGCACAGTGAACCCTAACCGGATACGAATACTAGTGCCCCGGTTCAGTAAGGGTTCATAAATACCAGTCGGTCGTAAAGACCTCATGTCGTCATGATAATTATAATTATTATAATGTATGAGACACCATAACTGTAGAAAAGCTTATAATGGGGTTCGGAGTATTTGCATTCGCGTATATTATTTTTGATGACACCAAAAACATCCCGTAAGTAAGAATCGAATTATTCGTTTTATATGGGTAATTCACCGATTTCGTATCGCCGAAATATTTTGTCGCTATTTTTTGTTTGCATGTTTTACGACTTGTACAGCTATTTTGCTGATTTAGCCGTTTCGGTTTGATGTTCAAACTGTACGATTATATTATAAACGCGTCCAAAAAAGACTTGTATTCGGTCGGTGTCGTCGGTCTTATCGGACAATTCCGTAGGTTTTCAATGATTTGGTATTTTTTTTTTTTTTTAAATCATGCAGTACTGTATTGTTATTGTACAATCGATTTTTATTCGGGACAATTTTGCATATTTTTCCTTTTTTTGATTCTGAGCGGAATAAGGACTGTATTGGTTTTACAATGATGATTTTTTTTTATCTGTGAACAACTATTCTACGAGTAATTTTGCTCCGATTTTTAACTATAGCAGTACAATTTGACTTGGGTGGTACTTTAGAGAGATCGTATTTTAATTTTCCCAGCTGATTTTATAATAAATGGGAAAACCCGGAAAATAGGTACACCATTAAACAAGTATTATTAAAGAAAATATATACCTAATGCATAATATGTAATTATTTTACCATAATATGACATATTATATATTATTGAAACAGCAACACTATTAACCGAACTCTGCTCAGAATCGTTTTTCGTTATCAATGATTAATCGTCACGTACAGATAAACATTTAGTTTCCCCTCTGCCTTCCAAACTTCACAACTATAGAACAGTGGCCCGTTCATCGTGCGAAGTATGTCCGTAACTTTTCGAGTGCGAAACCAAGGACTAGAAATCGGATCTTTTAAACACTATCCCAAGCCCCGAGCACTCACGCGACAAATTACAAACATAAGTTGCATGCGTGTATAAAAATGGATTTTAAAATAATAAACACTACTAAAAAGAAGGTCAATATTTAATTTTTCGTAAATTTAAATTGCACTCTGGTGGGAATTCGGTTTTGGAAGATATATGTCGGTGTTGCGTTAAAAAAAAAAAAAAAAAACGCCCATTTAATCATGACACAACGTTGTATTTGCGAAATCGGTGCATATGATGGGCTATACATTGGCAGGTGGTATACCTTATATTTCGGATGCATCCGTCCACATCACTTGGGGTGCAAACGGACCGTAATCGTACTCCCAACGACCTGCAGTGGCGTAACTATAGAACTTCTGATAGCAGCAACATATTGTATTAATGTCCTAAAGGCCGAACCGATAAGGAAAAAAAAATATGGTCTTTCAAAAAGACCCTAGCATGTCCAATGATGCATTGGGCCTTGGTCTAGACCAGAGGTCGGAAACCTTTTCGTGTAAATGTGCCATTTAAAAAAAAAATTGCGAAATTATGATTTTTAAAGAGCCGAATGGTTAAGATAAAAAAAAAAAATACACCATCGTACAAAAAACTATTAATGTATTATTTTGCTATGCAATTTCATCGAGAATTGGTATAGGCATGTAATAATAAGTCTTAAATTTAGAAAAACTTAATTTCGTTAATACATTATTATTACGCATTATTGAATTATTATCATTATTGTTTACACAAATACCTACACGAAAATAAAAAATAAAACGCATTTGTCTAAATAGTGGGATTTTCGACACTGGATTTTCGCGCACTGTTTATTCTAATCTGCAGTGTAAAAAAAAAAATTATATTCGAATTTAAATTTGTATTTGACGGGTCTGGCTCTAACGTCTAAAATGTCCAGACATTGATGCATTTTCCAAATAGCCGTAGACTGCGTGTTAAGGAACCGCAGGTTCCCGATCCCTGGTCCGGGCCACTGCTAGGGCCCTCATCGGTTGTGGGCCCGTGGCGTTTGCCCATCCAGTATTTACGACACTGGCAACGACGCGGCCCGCGGACCTAACCTTCCCGTACAAATAACGGCCGATATTTATACGTCGTCGTCGTAATATTATATTGCGTTATCGCGTTGTATATATTATAATAATATTATTATTATTATTATTATTATTATTATTATTGTCTTCAATATATTTCATCGTACCGTGCGTATAGAGTATATATTATTATTATTATTATTATACGCGCCCGTGTCGTTCCCCGTATCGTACATATATTATACGTGTAAACGACTCGACGCGATGTCGTAATAATAATATATATCCGTATATTCGTATGAAAATTGTGTGTGCGTGTGTATATATTTTATGCGCTCGTCCGTCTATACGTTTGCGTGCCCGCGCGTTTGTGTGTGTGTGTGTGTGTGTGTGTGTGTGTGTGCGTTGCTCGCGCGATTGCCGTCCGCCGCCGTCGACCACCGCGGCGGCGGTGGCGAGATGACGCTGCGCGACGAGATCTTTCGCATCGATAACGGCGCGACGCCCGTGAATATACGTATACGTATCATACGTACGGAAAGAAAACAAACGACCGAATAAACAGAAAAAAAAAAAAGAAAAAAAAAAAAGTAATAATATATAATATATACGTAGGTAATGTACGTAAATTTACAAAGGGCGTGCGGTGCAGTACGATAATATTATACGAATGTTATTATAGTATTCTTATATCATGTGTAATCGGTATGAATATGGGGCGGACGGAAATTTCGGTGTCGTCCGGCTCGCGCGACGGTTAAAATCCAACGGACGCGGTGTATTTTTTTTTTTTTTTCGGTACTCGCCTTTAAAACGCGTCCCGGAACTTCGCGACCGATTTCGCATTTGTTTACTATGGCTGTATCGGTATGGCTGCATCCGAATCGGGTCCCGGTTCCAAGTGGTTTTTATAGACAGTGCCTACACTAGTTGTGTCCCAGTGACTTTTGGCACTATGCTGGTTGGGTCGCGGTTGTCGGCGGGTTGTATACTGGTTGGGTGCTTGGGTCCGAACGTTTACAAGTATTAAAAACGATTTTCTTTTTCGTTTTAACAGACTTAGTCCTAAGTCAGTGATTCGTAGTTTAAAATAAAATACAAGTGTGTTTTGAAAAATGTTTGTTTTGCTCGATAAATTAATATTTTTGGAAAACAAGATGTCCTCCGTTCGTTCAAATTTACTACTAATTAAGTCGTATTAATTCAATATAATTTAAAAAAAAAAAAAAATTAAAAAATGTGTTATTTAATTTTGCATTTAATATTAATGTACTAAATGTACTTAGGTAAAAATGTACAAGAAAGCGTTTTGATAAAGCCAATATGTTGCCAATGTTTTTTTTTCAGTCATTTCCTTCTTTATAAATTGTTCTTTTTATAAAATACATTCCCATCGTTTCTTTTCCACACTTCTCATTTTGATGTAAGTGTCTACTTGGGTATGTAATTTTTAGAACTTCCATCCTACTCATTCTACTAACTCGAGACCCAAATAGTGTATAACCTGTGGAAATCTGGGACCCGTCTAGTATAGTACCCGGGACCAAACTAAAGTCGATTTTTGAGCACGGGACACAATTCAGATACGCCGTTTAAAACGTGTCCCAGACTCGAGACGCGGTCGCCGCCGTCCCGGAACTTTGTGATCGAATTCGCAATAATGTACTGTAGCTGTATTGTTATGCGTTCGCGTTCACGCCGTTATTCTGGAAGCGATAATGATTGTTATAGTACGACGTTAAGAGTGCGGTACGCCCACATTTGTTGTTTCCGTCTTACGAACGCACGATACAGTTAAAACGTGCTAACGCAGATTACACAGAACCAAAAGAGAACAATATTCCGGAGAGCAAAACGTTGCGTTTTTTCCATTTTCTCCGAATATAACAGTCAATTTACCGTTTACAAGTAACGACTTTTCGAAGTTTTTTTAATTCGCTAAAAATTAAAAAAAATATATAACTTTTTAAAAAAAAAAAAAACGTAACGTCTTACCCTCCGGAATATTGTTCTCTATTAATTTCATAACAAGTACTTTTACTCTAAAACCAAAATCAAGCGAATTCTGTGTAGTCTGCGTAAGCATGTTTTTACTATATCTTGTGATTTTAAAACAGAAATAACAAATGCATGTGTAACGTTCTCCTAATATGTTGTTATAATTATTTTAATACTATTAATTTCAATATGTTATCCGAACAAGTTGAAGTTTATTTGAGTAAATATACTCACGGGCTACGGCCAACGTGATTTATAAATTGATTTGACAATCAGGCGATTCGGTGCTCATTTCCCGCTATAATGATGCCGAGGGAAAAATATAAACGATGACATCCGCACCGTTACAGTATGTGATAGTGTATATAAAACTAAAACCACCATACGGGTATGAGAGTATCTCTCGTTGATAGAGAATTGTTCGCACGGTAATATAGTATAACACATCTCTTGCCAGTGCCCACCCCCACCCCCCCATCAATCGACCACAGTTTATGTATCTCATAGTAATTTAATATGTAATTTATATTTAATTTACTGAAAATATAAATAATGGGTCCCCCTTTAAAAAAACGTCTGGATCCGCCGCTGGCGGCTTTAATCCCATACATTCCCAGACTTTTATTCTATTTGATATAAACGGATACAGACGCTCTGTAATTAATTTAGCGTAACAAAATTTTATTATAGATATAACGGTGTAGTTTAGGTGATGGTTATAGCTAAACTTGCGAATAAATAACAAATACGATTTCATATACTATATGATAAATCGTTGTATGATGTTTGGTACGAATTATACGAATTTAACATAAAAGTACTTCAGTACTAATAACTTTAAATTATTTACATCGTTTTTAAATGTGTTATGTTGGGCAGAAGTAAACTGATTACCGTTCGGCAAATTAATACGAGACATAATACAATTAACAGATGAACATACGGCGTACCCAATTTAATTTAATGCTATGCAAAATGTGTCTCTACGACGGATGACTTGTGTATGAATCAAATAGAGAAGCCAGTTTTAGAGTTAAAAATAGATAGGCTCATGTATGATAATGATAATGGCTCATGTTGGATAATCTTGAAATATTACGTTTTTAGTACACGAAAACTGTGAACAATTATTCTGGACTCCTTCTAGAACGATGCAGTGCCGAAGCGAGTCAAAACTATAGTTTTAACATGCAGCAAACATTTTTTTACTCTTTACACCCGCTACCCACACTCTCTATATAATATTCCGAGTCTAACGTAAGTCAGCGAATATAAAAAAAAAAATCTTCAAATCACCAACTAAAATGTGTGAAATAATGCAAAGACGATCTGCTGCAGCAGAAACTATCAGTTTGTTACTATATTATTGTAAAACCCAATTCACACAGTCAAATATTTACAGACGTTAAACAAATATTCCTATATACATTTATTGATATACGAGTATATATATTTGGCAAATAAACGCATAACTAGATCGATAATAAATTTTTATATACTAATAAAGCGATTGGATTAAAAATGTGTATCATACATAAACAGTTATTAAACTTGACTTGCACACCGTCAGTTGTAAATAATTTTGGAACGTGTCAAGGGTCCGGAAACTAAATTACCGATTGGACACTAACTTGTAAATGCGTCCGGTTAGTAAATTATGTTGATTTCTTTTTCATGTGTATAACTAAAGAAACCCAGAAATCGACAAAAAAAAAAAGAAAAATGTGAAATTCAAAGGTAAGCTTCAAAAATTGAAGCATAAAAATCCAGCTTTGAGAAACTCACCTATTTTGTGTTCACCTAGGTTCAAATTTAAATTCTCTACGTGATATTTTATAGGTGTATAGATAGAAAGAGATATTTTCTAAAACCGATGCATAATCATTATATATTTTCTGTCGGTATAAAATTATGCAGAAAAACTTTTGAGATTCAGATTGAAACAATAAGTTTTGGGTACGTCACGGTAAAGTCGTTTTGTTTAATAAAACTATATTAATATATAGAGTGTTTTACGATGATCTGCCCCACTTGAAATAACTTTTATTGTATTTAACATTTTCGATAATATATATTATTTAATAATTAGTATGCCTCTGCACTACAATTTATATTTGAACATTTTTTTTAGGGGAATAGTGACTTAAGATTAAAATTTAAAATTTAACTATAATTTTTTTAAAAAAATTTCAAAATAATCATTTTGTAAAATAGATTTTTAAAAAATTGTTGGTGATTAAAACTTTTGTTAAAGTATGGTCTTTTATTTTCTACGATATTTTGAAAATTTGAATACTTAATTTTTATTTCAATCATAGCGTATTGTTTATCAACAAAAATATCAATAATGATATACGTTTCCAATACCCATTACCTATAATATGATAATATTGTTGCATGATATTAACATGGAAAAAAAAATCCTTATCATGTGCTCTGACTAATAGTTGGTTAAATATTGCAATAGAGTAACCACAATAGGTAATACTCACATTTGCAAAAACTTTAAAAAATCGTTGAAAATAAAAGACCATACTTTAACAAAAGTTTCAACCACCAAAATTTGTCTAAAAATCTATTTTACAAAATGGCTATTTTGAATATTTTTACTGTAACGCAGAGGTATACTAATCTTTTTAAAAAATAATATATCAAAAATATTAAATAGAATAAAAGTTATTTCAAGTAGTAGATCACGGTGGGGTACCCCGTATAGTACAGAAACTAAAATACCATTTTTATTTTTTCAGTAAGTATGATAACGCTAAACGGGGAGGATCATCTATGCGTTTTGAACATCCTCTCCATTTGATGTTCATTAGGTGTACCGTTTATCATAATAATAAGTCACTTAAGTGAAATTAACCTTTTTACCGTCGCACGATTTGTGCACTTTGAAATAACTCATATGAAAGTATAATATCCCAGTATTATTATTATAAAGGGATCCTTTATTGTTTTATTAATTTTAAGTGCCCGGAACAGCTTAATAAAAATAGCGAATTGATCGTGTGTACAAACTGTGTCCTCGTGTTTATGTATTATAATTGAATTGTACGTTTTATTTCACACCACAAATATTTCTTTAGTTTTTTATACACGTTAAAAGTTTCGAAATAAACCGATCTGCTGATAGGATGTGTCATTGTTTTTGAAAGGAAGTTATAATAGAGTACACAGAATAGGTACTATAGAGAGCAATTTAATGTATATCTACTTACGCAGTGAAAAACCATCGTTAAAAAAAAACAATTCTGCGCATAGTATTATTTTTCGGTTTTTTTCGCTTGTTGTTAAGGTAACTCAAAAATCAACAAAAATTATACAATTATCAGGTTTTCCAATTAATTAAGAAAACAAAAAATCATAAAATGATCTTCTCAATACACCAATTAGGTAAAAAACCTACAAGAAAGTTACTATAAGTTTTTGATTTGAGCAATATTTCTGGTACACAAGTTAATTACAGACACAAAATAAATAGATAGTACACATTGAAACCAATAGATCCTCGCTTCATTTAGAATCTAAAAGAAAAAAAAACTACAAAACAAAATACATTCCTACGGCTCCACTAAGATTCTATACTAATATTATTTAAAATAAAGTTTTATAACTGCATATTATATATACTTTATGAAATTATAACAATTGTATATTCAACTCATCTAATTAAAATTGACAAATTAATAAAATTAATTCTGTATATTGTAAAATCGTATTAAAAAATTTAAAGAATTTCTTTCCGAACTAAACTCCCAATACAGTGATATTATGTTTCATACTGAAGTACGATGGCTAAGCAAAGGTTAAGTCTTAGAACGATTTTTTTCCTTTCGTGAAGAAATTAAATTATTTATCCACGAACACAAAGTTGAATTCCCTGAAAAAAATGTATTAGCATTTTGGTACAAACTTGCATTCCTTGCAGATATAACTTAAAGTTTAAATATACTTCAAACCAATGGGCACGGAGAAAATAAACTTGTCCCTCACATGGCCAGTAAAATTTTTGCTTTTGAAGAAAAGATCAAAATGTATATTGAAGAAGTATCTGACAATTATTTTCCAAGTTTTTCTGAATTCGATTTAATGATAAAGGAAAATACAATTTTGTCTGATGATACTGATATAGCAACTCTGAAACCACAATTGCTTGAACTATTAGGCACTTTAAAAAATGAAATGAACAGTCGTTTCAATGATATTAAAAACTTAAGAAATACATTTCGATTTATTGAAAATCCGTAGAAAAAACAATAAAAGAAATATTTTAAATTAATATTATGAATTGTAATGTTGGTTTATTAAAAAGCGAATTAATTGACTTGCAGCAGGACATAATATTAAAAGATATTTTTAATGGTGAAAATAATGCAATAGAATTTTGAAATACACTTGAGGAACATCAATATCCTTCCCTTTTAAAAGCTATTCTAACATTTTTTGAATCGACATATTTATTTGAAGCTGCTTTTAGTAAGTTTACATTTATAAAAAACAAATACAGAAATCGTTTGAGTAATGTACATTTGGACGATTTAATGCAGTTGTCAACATCAAATACACCCGTAGACATAAACAAGATCATGAAAGAAACAGAAAGGTACCGTCCATCCACATCAAAACAACATAAAATTAAATTAATTAATCAAAAACTAAATTAAAAAATACCAATATCAATCTAATAATTTAACTAATATATACATTTAATATACTATGTTAATATGAATAATTTGTATTTTGTATAAAATAAACTATGAATTCAAATTTGAAATTATAATTATAAACCCAAGAAAAACATTTGTGTCATGAATGTATTTTTTCTTACAATACTCTTTCCTAACAATATATATATATATATATATATATACATATATATAATTTGTATATTTTTAATTATTATTATTAAAAATGTATGCGGCCCGCAAATAATTTTCAAAAATTACATTAGGCCCTTTCTAAAATCCTAGTGAGGACCGCTGGTTTAGATAAATCACGTCAGGTAAAGCACAGAAATCAGATAATCACGATAACTTGGACTTGGGAAATTATCTGTCTGGGTAAAACAATTGCCTAGCGAAGCACGCTCAAATGGATTATCGAAATCGCTCTCAAATGATCTACGAAACGTAACGATTAAATCAAAACGCGCTCAAATAACCGACTTCAGTGATATGTACAATGGAGAGTGGAAATTAGGAGTGGTATTCCATGTCCCTCCCATTGATTTTTAACACAACAACTATTACTTTTTTTTTGATTGTTTAATCTTAAAATTAATATATTTTAACAAAGTTTTAAGGAAAGGCTATATTTATTGGTTAAAAATTAGTTTTTTGCATCCAGCTTTTAAATTCCCGATGTAGAGTTAAGTAAAAAATAAAATCTTATAATTTTTTTATGATTAATATTTACTACACAGACTCCCGTTGAACATTCTTGGACACACTGCGGATCGAATCTCAAAAAAAATAATCACTATAACTAACATAAACATACATGTTACCACAACCTGTTTTTAAAATTACAGACTAAGGGTGAGTCAAACAAGACAGTTAAAAATGTATTTAATATGTAAGTAAGTATGTCAGAAGAGTAACTTAGGTCAAATACACTTGGTATTTGTATATTTTTGTGTAGATTTGATAAATTTTATACCTCTTTCGAATTCGTTTAACGTGTATGGAATGAGAATATCAATGCCCCAGTGCATAATGTTTTAACACATATATTTTTATTCCTTAGAAAATGTATGTTACAGATTACATTGACATTTAGATAATGTTAAATACAAAAACATTTTTTATAAATATCTTGTATGCTAAGTGCTACACAAACTTTACAAACCCAAGTATGTGCCTAGTATCTATGTATAAAAGCATTGAAATACAATAATCCAAATATATAATAGACAAGATCTTAACTCCAATAATTGAACATTAAACAGATTGACTTGTGATAAACCTTACAATATAATATACGGTGTACAGTTTTATAGGTCAGTCTGTGTTCGTAATTTGTATCGTAACGTGATATTTTAAGATCATTTTATAAACTTAGCAATACATTTGGTACTTTTTCCCAAATATATAACCGTAACCAGTTTATTTATTATTTATAATATCTCTTGATGAGGTATACATTATTATTGGTGAATGTGTCTAATGAAAGTGTTCAAAAACGTTAAAGGTGTTGTATGATAGTACAATTCGTGATATAAATCGTCTATCGTATGTTGTACAATAATTCAAAATGTACTTGTAATATAATAAATAAATAAACAATAAGTTTTAATAAGAAACGTGCATTTTTTAGATTCTTTGCAACTATTAATTTAGTCTTATTATACAGAAGGCCTTGTAATTTTACAGAAGGCTAATGTAATTTTATCCGGCTAAGATAACTTTATTCTATTTGTCTAACGCTTTATGTCGATACTTGGCTAATGTTACATTATCCATATGCAAGGCCATTAGATGAGGGAAGGTTTTGTGAGTTCACCCCTCCAAATTTTTTTTTAAATTAATTTTTTATTGTTTTCAAGATAAATGCTAATTATGTTTTTGTGTATACTCGTAACTGTTTTATTGAACAAAAGTTTAGTATTTCAGATTTTTTCAAAAATAAATTATTAAGATCAATCAAAATTAAAATCTTTATACCTATCTTTGTTGTGAAATTAACCGTATAGAGGAGCACGTGAACGAGTGCTGAGCCACGAGGAGCAAGGGGCAACTACCTAGGGGCGGCAAATTTGTATGAACCGACATAGTAAACCAACAACTGATAATAATTATAGGGCAGCAAAATATGCTTTGCCCATGAGTGACAGTTTAGTTTACTGTGGCATTAACTGTACATATTTATATTTGAGTAACTGCGGTTTTCCTAAGTATATTAAACTTTTTTAATGATCGGAACTAAAATAATATGCAAATGCAATTTAGTATACAATAATATATTGGCGCGATAAGGATAAAATCATTGTAGAGTAACTACACATTATGTAAGCCCAATGTATAAACGATGAATTTTGAAATAAAAATAAAATGAAATTTGTCTAAGCGACTTAATTAATAAGAGTATAGTATTATCATTTATAGTTGGCAGTAAGTACTATGATAAAATAACTATGTGGATAGTGCGAAATCAATTTATCCGGATATCCAATAAACTATATTATAAACTTTATGATTTTTATTTCTAAAGCCGTTGAAACCGTTACGCCCAATATATCCTAAATCGATCTCGATATTCTGCTACCACTCACTGATCCGAATTTCCGTGTTCCAATTCTGAATAATTAACGACATATTATTCTTCTAACGTAAATAATCTTCTCAACAAAATCTCGGTTTTCCAAGTGGTAATATTCTACTCGGAATTTCTTCTATACGACTCCTTTGACCATTGAGTCATGTATAATGATATTGACTCTGTTATTGTTTCCTCGGTGCGTGAGCTGCCTATTCCAGCTCATTCTATACATTTATATCACTCACAATATCTGCAGACCGTTTAGAATAATATAAGTTTAGGTTAGATTAGGTTATAACTGATATTTTACTTTCCCCACACATAATTTCTGTCGTTTCAATGACCGTTTGATTAGACCCTTTATGGATTCCGAAGGAAAACAAATTTGTTTAGACATTTTAATTTTTTTTTCGTATGCGGCAAATCGTATAAAATTTATAAATTTTATTACTACACCTATATATGCTCGGTTGTAGACGACGCGCGCGTATAAAATCGCGAGGGACAGTATGTATATACAAGAGTAAAAGACACCATACCATGTGTTCGTGTACATAAATTATAATATTATTATAAAGAGAGGCGACGGGGTCGCGTTAAAATTTTTTTTTTCCTAAACCCCCTCCCCGGAATAACGTTTAACCATATAAATCGCGTGTGAGCTATAGTACGCACTGTCGCCGGCACGACGTTTTTTTTCTCAAACGTTATTCCAGTCGTCGCTCTTCATCGTCACGGGACTCACGAATACCGCGTTTATTGCTTTGGTCCCGAAGAAGAATGGCTCAAGTAAATTTTCGAAATTTGTTCATGTATGTAATTTTGTCTCGTATAATTTGTTTCGTCCTTTATAATTTGGTCTAAATGACTAAATAAGTGTAAGCTATATATTTTTTAAGCGAATTCAAATTTAATTCGCTTGTTCATAACATTGTAAACAATAAAAAATCGATTTAAGCCCTACTTCTGCGAGACCAAAAATTGTACATATCGTTGTCGTATAACGATATGGGATACAGATACGCCTATACAAATTTCATGTTGCCATAGATGTCATTACATTCAACTCGAAACCTGTGCACTCAGAGCAAAGTTGTACGCGAGTTTACTATCCGAGAATGTAAAAAAAAAAACTATCATATAGTTGACGATGACCGATTAACAATCCGATCTCGAAACGTTTTTGCGTCAAAACCGTGACAATCCGCATAAAGATTCGGCTCGGATATTATCAGAGATCTACCTAAAAGATCTATCTAAAATCTACAATTTCGTTGAAAGTAACTGTTTTCCCTTAAAATTGAAATCGGTTACAACATTGTGAAATTAGTTTTGTCTCACTGGTCACACCGGGTACAAATCTACCACGACATTTTGTGACCATCTCGGTATAGACGGTGACTTTACATCACGCCTTCCAAAATTATCACTTTTAACTGTATTAAACCTATTTGACAAACAGCGTGTTATCTCTTTTCGTGATCACGACGTTATCAAATATTCAATTCGATTTAACTGTGTAAATTTCCTTTAAATGTTTAATGTTTAAATTAATTTTCGTTCTATATATAACCAAGTCCAAAATATGTTCAAACCTTTACAATAAGGAAGGAGTAAATGATCGGCTATACGCGGAACAAGTTTTAAATGATAATGTCTTCGTTGCCACCGGTTACTATGGGTTCGTAACCGTACCGAAATGGTTCGCTATCAATTTGTGACCGGTGACTCGTAACGAATTTGTAAAATATTTCGAATTTGCGAATACTTGAAACTATAATAATATCGCGTACACTCCCGAGATCCGGATAGGTGTAAAATCAAACAATACCTATATATATCGCTCTTTGCAGTTGATTTTTTTTTTCAAATTATCACCCTTGCTGTACAAAACGGCTTAGGCCCGTCCCCGAGTGGCGGAGGTGGCGACGAGAGGGATAGGGGTGGGGTGGGGGGAGGATATCGAGTCCTGCGAAAAAAAAACTAATACGCGCGTATACACGGATCTAACCGATAACAATAATAATACTATACTGACCCGACTCCGAACGACACACTAGGTACTTACCTAAAAAAAAATAAAAAGGCTCTCGAGCGTTCCGACCCGCCGGACCGATCGTGTAATCTGCCGCGTGAAACTGTATCGGGACCGTCGTCCGCGGCACGGACGATTCGTGTCTACGGAGACGCGATTTTTTTTATTCAAAAAAACACGCGAACAACGATGATATCGGCGTACGGGGCACGGCGCGGTGCGTTAAAAGCGAGAGGGGCGGCGGAAAAACAAACGCACGCGATGGCGAAAACCCGCGCGGGTACGGGCAGACCGGCCAAGACCGTGTGTGTGTGTGGACGCGGAACGGTTCGCGACGACGTCTGTCTCGAACACTCGACTGCTACTACTCTACCGCGGGCGTTGTCGTCGTCGTCGGCGGCGGCGGCGCGGCCAGTAGAACCGGCGGCGGCGGTGTGCCGGCGGAGGGAACGGGGCGGCGATACCGGTAGTGCACAATACGAAAATATGATAATAATATATTATTGTGTAGCGCCGCGATCGCGCAGTGCGCGTGCGTCCGTGCGCACAAAGGGTTGCACGGCTCGGAGATCGTCCCCCTCCGTTCCCCCACAGCCCCCGTTCAGTAAAACCGTACCCTCGATTATATTGTTATAAATACGATTTAATAATAATATACTAAACTGTAGGCTGTTATTAAAATATTATTGTTATCGTTTCGCATCGTATACACGCAATGTTAACATAGATAGAGGTACCGACACACCGTCATCGAATAAATCTCGCGCAGCGAGAACAACGGCGGGGCAACAATAATATATTCGTAACGTATTCCCGACGACGCGATGAAACAACGCGAATAATAATGCGATAATTCATCGCGGGGGGACGGACGCCGCTGCCGGACGCGACGGGGTCCGCCGTCGGGTGTTTTCCCGGGCGATATTATTGCCGTCCGTCGCGGTCCGTCGTAGTAACCGCACCGGGCGTATATAATTAAGGGGCGGGCACGGAGGATCGGCTTGGCCCGCCGTATATACACGTGCAGTATTCGTAGCTCTCGCAGTATTCTCATTGCAATATTATTATATCGTTAACAAACGATTGATCGAGTAACGTATAGGTATTTTGGCAGCTGACTAGTGGAGGGGAGGGGCGATCCGCGCTTCCCCTCTACCCGGATCGAACGTCAGTCGTCTCCGCCGCGTATGTCGGTTACCTATATTGTTTTTTTGAGAACCGTTATATAGTCGTAACAGTATACGATAAGTAGGGATCGGATTTTATAGCATTTGCTAATTATTATAGAATACATATATAAATAGCAGATTGAGCTCTTCAATTGTTTTATGCGCTAGTGGCTTCAAACATGAAATTTAATATAGCTATTTTTCGCATATTTGAAGTATTTTGAAGATTTTTAGTGCTATTTTTAAATTTTCGGTGATATTTTTTGCAAATATGCATAATATTATAATGATTTATTTTGTATTTCTCGTGAAAAATTAGAAAAAAATCTTTCATTTATGCGAATACATAAGAAAAATAACTACATTCTCATTTCATATTATAATTTATTTTTAAGTAGCCTTGCTTATTGGCTCATCCAACAATTTACATTTATGGCTTCTTTCGGTTGTATTTATATATTTAAAAAAAAAAAGCACATTTTCTTTTTAGCCATTTTTCATGTTTTTAAGGCATACTATTGCTTATTTTAAAAATTTTAGGACATATTATAAGACTTATTTGAAGATATTTTAGGTTATATTATAGCGCATATTTTAGTTATTTTCAGTGCTATAAAATGCGAGCTGTAAGGATGAGTCTGTGACCCGCGCTATCCGCGGACGGTCGAAATTCGAGATAAACCGTTTTACATCGAAGGACATAAACTGCAATACACGTGCAATAGTATTTATATATAATGACTTATTATATCTATGTAATATTAAAAAAAAAAGAATCAATATAATACTTTAAACGCACTCAAAGAACACACAAAGAAAACAATATTTCTAAACTGCGATTTTTTTTTTTTTTTAAACAATGTTGATTTTATTAAAAATTATATTAACTTGCAGATGATGTGATAAATTGCTAGAAACTGTTAACAAAATTCAATTATACGAGTTACGATGACTTTAAAAATATAAAAAAACACGATTTTCAGGGGTCAATGAGATATGTCTCTGTATGGTGGCTCCAAGATAACTGATAAATGGTTCTCAAACTGTAATTTAGATAGAAACAAAAATATTTAGCGGAAACAATGATTACCTCCCTGGATCTGTCGCTGTCTCGACACTGTCACGATTATAATACGAATATACCGATACTAACAAATTATCATGATAATATAATATAATGTAATTTTTTTGATTTTTGGACATTTAAATTTTGTTTTCACGACCCAGTTGTCTGCACAGGTTGTCGCGCGTGTTCACGATGTATGGGTGAATGTGTACACACATTTATAGTGCAGGACACTGGATGAAAACGCACCACGTGCAATGCAATAGTGGCATTTGTCTCGTCGACAATATATAATATAATAATATGTACGATGTATGTTTACACAATGCACACGTGTGACGTGCATATTACAATATTATTGTGTGCACAGAGAAAAAGTATATATCGCGTAACCATCACTATATGTAACATTATTACAAAAAATTGATCATAGACATTAAAAAAAAAAAATAATAAAAAAAAATAAAACTGTATAGAAGTGTTGGATACTGGTCACGGGTAGACGGGAAATTAGAAATGTATAGGATATAATATATACATTATACACAGGGTAATTTATTTAGTTTAAAATATAAAATACACAAAATGATGATAAATGATTGCAAACAAAAAACATTTCTGGGTGCAGAACTTCGTTGACGATTTTTTTCCTAAATTTGAATAGTTAAATTTTTTCGTTAATTATTTTCACGATTCACATCAAAATTTAAGCATTAAAGGGGCTTAAAAAAAATTATAAAATTACGCTACGTTTGTATATCAATTTTTTGTGATGAACCCCCTTGTAAACTTCCAGGCATCTTGTTGGACGAAACAAATTATATACACATAATTTAAAATAAGATTTAAAAACTCAATCATTTCAAATGGCTATAAATAAATCAAAAATTACCAAACAAATACCTTTGAACCTTTTACCTTGTTCACAAATGGCTAATATAGGTGTTCTGTGAAAATGTATAATATTATTTCTCACTAAATTACAACAAAAAAATTGAATATAACGGAAAAGAACCGTTATTGCTTATGTTCATCGTTTTCCTACGTTTTTTTCTAGTTTTTCCCAACTATTAAAAAAACTACAACGAAAATCAAAAATAATCACATTGGTGCACTAACTAGGCAAAATAATCATTTAAAATATATGCTACACTTGTTGATCGGAGCAATTTTTTTGGTAGAAAAGTTGTTTACAGACCCAAAAAGACTACTAATAGGTAAAATTAAAGGTATACATATATTTGAAACTAGTACGCAAAACACATAAATAAAAATGTGTAGCTCTTTTTTAAGTTTAATCTTCTTTTTTTTGGGAGGTTCTATCATTGGATAAACCTCCCTTCTCATGTCACTCAAATGAAAAAAAAAATTGATCATCTTATTTACTTATTGTAAATATTCCATAAATAGAAAATACAAATTGTGTTTGCATAAATCGATAAAACTCATTATCTAATTTCAAATAGATATGAATAACTTCAAAAACGTTCTGCGGTTTATACTACGTCTAAAACTATAAAATGCTATTACATAAGATGCATTATTTGGTAAAAATATAAGGTCTTTATATTTTATATTACTGAACATATATGATATGAAATTCCGTGGTTTTTATAATTTTCGTCAAAATTTAACTAATTTAACAATTATAGAAAAAAAACGAGTTGAGAGTATAAAAAATATTAAATATATAAAAATACTCTCAAATTTTGTTTTGACTACCAAAAATATTTTATAATGAACCTCATATTAAATATCTGTAGCGTATCTGTTCGGTCAAACTAATTTTATCAACATAGAAACAAATTAGAGAATGTTTATAAATAGCTCGAAAATGAATGTATTCAAAATGCTTTAAAAAATTACCACGTGTATAAAAGGCTAATGTATGTAAACTGTGGAAATTTCAGCTCTCTGCGGTTATTTTTACTGACTTACAATAAACAAAACAAAACCGAAAATAATGAAACCGTTAATCCCGTAAACTTTTCTGTTCTTTCCTGTTTTTCCTAAGTTTATGAAGACTGTTTGATAAATCAAAAACTGATCTTACTCACATACTAGACTTTTTTTTTTTAGAAAATATGCATCAAATTTCTAGTAGAAATGTTGTTTATTAATATTAAAAAAAGAATAAAGCACACATCATAATGAAATCAATAAGTACATTTTTCACTGTGCTAAGAATCTAAAAAAAATCTATTTTTCAGCTTTTTCCTCCATTATTACAAGAAAAGTACAAGGAATTTCAAAACAAATGTATTCAATAAAGCTCCTATGTTTTTAATCAGAACTAGTATAACACTTCACAGACAGCATAAAATAAAAATAAAAACCCCAGAATACCATAAAAAAATATTCAATATTTGCTATTACGTTTTTATACGATTGTTCTGAAAATACAATAGAAAATAAATTACTTTTATACTTTTTCAGTGATTATTATTGTAATATAATTACTATAAATCAATTAAGTTACAACAATCCATATAGTAAACGAATAATAATTGCTCTATTGGAAGGCTTAATCAATATAATAATATCCTTATTAATCGACCATAGTGAAATTCATTACACTACAGGTATTTAAAAAAATGTATACGAGTACGGCATGCCTATTGAATACAAATTAATATTTTTAAACGTATAGATACCTTAATTATTGAATATAATCTTATACCAATTCTGCACAGTTCATTTTAAATTTCACCCTCCCCCTCCTCTTCAAATACGATCATTAGGAAACCACCCGCTTTTACATTAAATGTAAATGTATTAAATACAAATTTCATATATACCTATGGCTATTTTCATAAAACATATTTACGCATAAATGACAATTTTTTTCTCAATTCATCTCTATGAATTTAAAATTACACAATAATTTATTATCTCTTATCTTAATAATTTTTAGATTTCACTTTTTTTTTAAGCTTGCACGCACATACATTTTCGTCGACATTATACAAATTATAAAACTACTGTTCCTTCATCTATACTACAGATAACTAATAAATATTACAGTCATCTGACACGGTTTTTCATTCGCTATCAAGTGATATAATATAATATTATTCAGTTACAATAGAACATTATTAATTTGTCAATCTTACGAGTAACACAG